AAAATTGCCTTATTATTCTAGGCTTGATTCAAGTTCCATCTATTAAATGCTTGGAGGAACCAATTGATTTTATGTGCACACCTTCCAAGAAGACCTAGTCTGGCCTCAGTGATGCCTATCTGGGGATGTGACAGTTAAGCTTAGATTTTAGTGGAGACATAAAAGATGAGTTGGGGCTTCCCTGGTGGCTCAGTGGTAAAGAATCTGCCTGCCAATGCCGGAGTCACATGTTTGATTTCTGGGTTGAGAAGACCCCCTGGAGAAGGAATTGGCAACCCACTCCAGTATTCCTGCCTGGGAAATCCATGGTCAGAAGAGCCTAGCAGGTGACAGTATATGGGGTCTCAAGGGTTAGACACAACTTAGCAATGTGGCCAACAACAAGACAGGCTAGCCAGCAAAGAAGTTGGGAGGGAGGGCATTGGCTCAAAGGGTTCTCCAAATGGAGAACTGCTTGTGAGAAGACCCTGAGTTTGTAGAAAGAGCTTGTCTTATTTGAAGGAGAAAAAAAAAAAAAAACCCCAAAAAACCCTGCTGAAGTAAGGAAAGAGTGGCACAAGATGAGGTTAAAGAAAGTGATAGGGAAACCAAGGTTTATAGGTTACATTAAGACATCTGGATTTTATTCAGGAAAGCCATCAGAGGATTTTCAGGTTTGCAAACACATGATCTGCTTTGCAGTTACAAACAAACCAGTCAAACTACTATAGGATAAATGGATTAAATGGGAGTTAAGAACTGAAGTGAGGCAGCTATTTGGGGTATCTACTGAAAAGATCAAAATGAGATAAAAGGGGGGATGGCACAGAAGATGACCAGAAGCAGTGAGACCTGAAGAGTATTTGGAGGAAAAGTCAACAAGGCTTGAGGACTGGTGTGGGCGTGGGTGGTGAGAAGACAATATCAAAGGTGGCTCCTAATTTTCTGGCACGGGTTATTTCTAGAAAAAGGGCAGGTTTAAGAAGAAAAATGATGAGATGGTTCTGAATATAATTAGTTTTTAGAGCTCACCAGACATCCAAGTGGAAAGTCAAATGTGGGCTGTACAGTGGGTGTAGCGCTGAAGGAGTCGTGTGACACAGTACGGTTGTAGAAGTTCTACATTATCTAGAAAGACACAGATGCTGTGGACGAGGTCAACACAGAGCAACCTGAGAAGTGTAGGTAAAGTAGACCAGATCTGTATCATGACCACACTTAAAACTGAGCAGTTTGGTGGCAGAGATGGAGAAGAAATACCAGAGAGGTAGGAAGTCGCAAGGAAGGTATGTTGTCATCATGGCCCACAAATAAGTGTTAAAGAATGGAGGTGTTAGCTGCGCAGAAGGTTTCTGAGTGGTCACATAAGGTGAGGACAGGAAAGCGTCTTCCGGGTTTAGCAACATGGAGGTAGGTAAGCTGCTAAGCTGAGATTCGAGAACGACAATGTCCCCCACCTGTGTCCTCTGCCTCAGATTTTCAGATTTGGGGCTAATGTAAGGCTCTCCCAGTTTGGGCCTCAGCAAACACATAACTTCCTTTTAGCTGTTCTCTAAAGTATGTGTAAACATAACCCTTAACTTGCAACACAGTTGAGCTTCAAGGCCTCCAAATAAGAGCCCTACCCGAGCCCTACCCGAAGGCTAAGACTCAGCGGGCTGGCAGAGCAGGGCCCGGGGGAGGCGATGCGCGCGGGGAACAGCCGTGTCCGATTGGCCGAGCGCGGCAGCAGCCCGATGATTGGCGAGAGCAGAAGGCGGGGCGTCAGGATCTGCCTTTTCTTTCCGCTGGTACTTTCGGTTTGCTGCGCTGAGTTTGCGGAGAGAAGAACGCGAGTCAGACCCCAGATAGAGCGGAGGCGACCCGGTGCGCCTGGGAGAGGAGGCACGGCTGTGCTCTCGCCTATCCCTGCGGGATCCGGCGCGCAGAGTGAGTGAGCGTGAGGTTCCGGGTTCCGGGTGCCGGGTGGGACGCGCCTGGACCGGCTTCTTCGGGGCCCAGCAGACGGATGCCCAACGAGCTCAAGCTTTTAAGTGCTGCCGGGTGAATCCGTCATCCGGAAAAGAACTTATATCCCAGGTGTTGTTTCCGGTGATGGCACGGTTGCCCCAGTCATTTGTGCCCTGGTAGTAAAAAAATGTGAAATAGAATCCCGCCCCTCCCCCACAACAGTGCATCTTCCCATTTACCCTCTTTCCCCTCCCTTCCAGCAGAGTCGTATTTTCTTCTCTCCGCAGAAAGTTTGCATTTGCCGTGTGCCACCCCTAGAGAGCTGTCTAAGCTAGACGCACCCTGTGCATGCAGACCCAACAGTCTTGGCATCTGACGTGCTGTGTGTAGCTGCTGCTTGTGTTGAATCCCTAGCCCTTCGCTGGGCACAAGGTGACAGGTTAGTAAATGTTAACGGAAATGAATGAGTATGTGACTTTGGAACTTAATTATATATCTGTTTAAGTATAAAGGAGCTTAATATGCTCATGAAGTGTAAAAGTGATGATTAGTTCCTGCAGATCCCGAAATAATATAATTAGCCTTAAAAAAATTCTGACTAGTACCAAAAGTTTGGGGGAAGAAAAATAGGTATGATTGATTGTGCTTTAAATATTGTTTGTATAAGTTGGATAGATTGTTTTTACGGGACGGAAATAAGACTTGAGCCCCCAGCACAATCCAGTTTGCAGTTTGACGCAGGACTCAAAACTTGTTGGACCATAATATGGTTTGCCCTTTACTTTCTAATTCAGTCTACTAGATTTCAGTTCAACAGACTTCTATTGAGTATATATTGTGTGCAGGACACTGTCCAAAGTGCAGAGGATGTTTAAAAAGAAAAAAAGCAGTCTTAGCAAATCTGAAGCTTACATCATTTAGGGGAGACATCATAGAGCTTTGTTTAAGGAAGACAGGGTGTCAGTGTGCATGCTCAGTCGCTAAGCTGTGTTTGACTCTGCGACCCCATAGACGGTAGCCCGTCAAGCTCCTCTGTCCATGGGGTTTTCTAGGCAAGAATACTGGAGTGGGTTGCCATTTCCTACTTCAGGGGATCTTCCCGACCCAGGGATCAAACCTGTGTGTTGCATCTTCTGCATTGGCAGGCAGATTCTTTACCACTGAGCCACCAAGAAAAACAGGGGCTGATGCCCAAATTGAGATGCAAAATGCTGTGAGGCACAAGTCAATGAAAGCTTAATTGTCTCTGGGTATATCTTAGCTTAAAGAAGAAATGGCAATTGTACCTGTCTTTGAATGCTAGTAAAATTTAAAGAGGGAAATATTTACGGAGAATCTGTTTTCAAGGGTGGACAAACTAGCAATTTTGTGCAAGAGGATGATGTGGTCAAAACCCTTGTGCCGCAGAAGGCTGGATTGGGAAATAGTGTTGGAGGCATGGAGGCAGGAGGTCTTGAGACTGGAAAGGAAGAAGTCAGGTGATTGAGGGATGGTCTTGCTCTTCCATGTTGGTGCCAAGTTTGGCGAGAAGATGGAGTGGATTCTGAATTTGTTAGCATGAATTTATTGATCGCCTGCTTTGTGCCAGGTGCTGTGTCTGTATTAGCTCATGCAGTCTTAACAATCACCCTGTTGATAGAGAAGTGAGTCACCTGTGGTCACCCACCTAAGAAGAGTGTTGCAGCCCCCACTGGCCAGCATATTTGCTTTAGTCACATCCTTTTTAGATACTTAGCAGGGAGGAAGAGCACTGCAAATTTGCAGTCTTTTACTCAGGTAGGATAAATTTGAAGTGAAAAATCAAATTGCTGCAGCAAGTATACCAGAGGTTCGCTTGGGTTCACTTGTACTGATGTTTTGTGATGGTTAGTTTTGTGGCCCCAACGTATGCTTACCTTCTTTTGGAGGGAAATTTGTGAAGCAGACATGACTTCATGGCTGCACACATGTGCTTGCCAGCAAGTGTGCATATGTTCTTCCATGCCCTGCTTGAAAATCCAGAGCCCTTTCTCAGGCCTAGTAGAACAAGATTCACTTACATTTGCTCAGAGTATTGTCAGCTGTGCGCTGATATATTGGGTTGCAAAAATCTGAATGAAACTTTTGTCCAATCTGATAAGTCCTAATTTACACTATGATGAAGGGAGGCTTTTCATTTTCCTGATGGATGTTCCGACTTCCTTAAATCAGATTTTCATTTTAATTTTTAATCTTCAGGGTTACTATATAAAAGTTGATTTACAGTTATCTAAAGAGTATTACTTTATCTTTTCAAATTGCATTTAACAATGTAGTTTCAGTCTTTAAAAATTATTACTGAGATGTAAGAATTTTGTGCTACTTTGTTGTGTGCAGTAGACCAAGAACAAAATATCTCTTTTAAAAGATATATAACAAAAGTAATTCATTTTAATCATGTGAATCATATAGAATACCAGTTTAAAGTCCTTTGAATTAAATTACAAATGTTCTGTAATTTCTAAGAGCAGTTTTGGGGAAAGTTTTTACAATTTATCTTAAAGCAAAGAGTGTTTTCCACTTATTAATAAAAGTGAAGATTCATTTTAAAGGCATATGAACACCTACTATATGCCCAGCACTGTTCTGAAGATACTTCAGTGAACAGCCTTCCCCCACCTCACACTACCACTATCCCGGACAAATCATTCCCTTCCGTGGGAAAAACAGACACTAATCAAAATAAAAAGGAAAATATGTCCTAGGTCAGATGGTGGTTAAGGGCGATGGAGAAAAGTACATCAAGGAGGAGGGATAGTGTTTTCTGGGGTGAGAGGTAGTGTCAGTTTAAATAAGGTGGCCAAAGAAGGCTTGCCTGATACATTAGCATTTGAGCAAAGACCTGAACGTGTATTTTATGGGGAAGAAAGAAATATTGGCCCCAAATGAAAAAACAAAACAGGTTTTGGAATATAGACATCTATTTTAAAAGTATATTTGAGACAAATTATGTTTTTGATTAAGCAGGATATTTAGAAGAAGCACAATGCTAGACATGCTTTCTTTGGAGCTGTGGGCTTCCATTTGTGATCTGTGCTCTCTTGCCCTATAGGATGTCCCAGTGGTATGAGCTTCAGCAGCTTGAGTCCAAATACCTGGAGCAGGTTCACCAGCTCTATGATGACAGTTTTCCCATGGAAATCAGACAATATCTGGCACAGTGGCTAGAAAAGCAAGACTGGTAAGGAAAACTCATCTGATAAAAGGAGGAGTTTTTCTACACTTTTAAAATAACTTGTTGATTGAATGACTTGGAACTACACTGACTAGCAGATGAATCTCATCAGTAGCCGTTGGGATTATCTGTTGCAAAAAAAGAGTGTTGACTTGAAAAATGTCATATGTCTCTAGAAAGCTAAATGCATTAGTCATTAATTTTATGTACTGTCCAATTTAATTATACATCCTCCTAAATGCTTTGAACAAGTTACATGATGCTGATACAAATTATTTTCCAAGCTAGGATCCAGGTTATAGAAAGAGGTAAGTTAAAGCCAAGTCGTTGTAGAACACTTATGAGAAGTATAAAGGAATGCAGTTAAGGAAATAGCTCTTAAAACTGATAAATGTTTTGTTTTAAAATTTATTGTTTAGCTCATTGCAAATATTTTAAATGTTCTGAAAGCATTTGACATAGAAAGTGAAGGCTCCTGTTGATTTTTTGACTCCAGATATAATCACCATTGATAGCTTTATGCACCAGCTTGGCATACTAGAATTGTTCATGCTAATGTTATATAATAGAAATACTATACTCCCTGCTGCTAAAAGCACTGTCAGCTTCAAAAGAAGCGACTAAAAGCCAGGAAAACACTTTTAAGTTATTTTTAATCATTTCATTATGGAAAACAGTGTTTATTTTGTTGGTTTAAAGATAAAAATCACTTAGTTGTGTCCGACTCTTTGAACCCCATGGACTACACAGTCCATGGAATTCTCCAGACCAGAATACTGGAGTGGGTAGCCTTTCCCTTCTCCAGGGGATCTTCCAACCCAGGGATCGAACCCAGGTCTCTCACATTGCAGGCGGATTCTTTACCAACTGTGCCACAAAGGAAGTAGTATCTAAATGAAATGTGTACATTTTGACCCTCCTAGGGAGCATGCTGCCAACGATGTTTCATTTGCCACCATCCGTTTTCATGACCTGCTATCACAGCTGGATGATCAATACAGTCGCTTTTCTTTGGAGAATAATTTTTTATTGCAACATAACATAAGGAAAAGCAAGCGTAACCTTCAGGTATGACCTTCGTTTTGTGTTTTAGTTGAAATGCTTCCATGTTTACGTAAGAGAGGTTTTTCATTCAGCAAATATTGAGTACATTTTCATTGGTATTTAGGAAATTACAGAGACTATCAATAAACTGCCTTTATGTGGCTAATACTGTATAGCAGAAGTAAAATAAAATATCAATTCATTTTGTAAACATAAGGAATTTTCAAGCTTCAGGCTATCACTTAGGCGTAAGTAGTTCTGAGAGAAATTCGGTGCTATAATCTTATTTAAAGTTGTTGATATTTAAGTCATTAAGAAAAAGGGTTATATGTTAAGAGCAGTGAGCTGTAGTAACATGTTAAAGCTCAAAGGAACTTTAGTGATGAGTCCAGTCTGAGTGCTTAGTAGACAGATGAAGAGTAAGTCCAGAAAGGTTTGATGTCTCTGAGGCCCAGGAATGAGGTGGTAAACTGGAGTTGGACCCCACCTTGCCTTGCTTCTGCTGAAGTTGCCCTCCCTTGGAAGAAAAAGTGAAAGGGAGTTGCAGGCAGGAGAGAGTATACGTCAGAGTTTTAGGAGTTCTTCATAAGTGCTTTCAGCACCCCATAAACCTGATAACCATTTTTACTTCTGTATTAATGGAATTGTTCTGTTTTAATGGAGGTGAGTACTGTCATTTTCTTGTTTTATTCCTCACAACCAGACTGTTCAACTTAATTAGAACCTTTTTTCCCCCCTCTGTGAACGTATGTATGATTTTATAATACCAGTGAATGGGAAAGCCAGATTAACTTTACATAAATTTCTTCTCCTACAGAGTTGACTTAATTATACCTGTTATAAAGAGAGGCACAATTGCAGTACTTTGCAAACTACCTTTGACAAGAAAGCAGAAAAGCTGAAAAGAATGTCTTTGGTCTGATTGAAAGCAGAGACCATCAGATTAATTGAGGAATAATCTGGATAACTTTTGTATCATTTTCATTGTCTCAGGATTGTAATAAGAGAACTGGGCCCAAGAGCAACAAAAATGAAAAATATTACAGGAACTGTATACAAAAATACTTGTTTTTTTAATCAAGAAGTAATTTAGGAACCTGCAGTTAGTTGGACAGTTGAAGCAGTTTTAGTCATAATATACGAAAAGAATATTTTGATGTTACCAAAAAATAGCTCATATAGGATTTAGTAAGTGAAGGATGAACAAACTCATTTCAGTGTATGATATACAGTGGTTTAAACATTCTGAAGATTAATTTACTCTTATTCTAACAACCCATGTCTAGGATAATTTTCAGGAAGACCCAATACTGATGTCTATGATCATCTGTAACTGTCTGAAGGAGGAAAGAAAGATCTTGGATCATGCCCAGAGAATCAGCCAGGTACTTTTTTCCTAATTGAACATAAAGGATAATGAAGCAATAAACATTCATTCAGTCATCCAGCAAGTATTATTGAGGCCCTGTTTCAAGGCAGTGGTGACTAGCTCTCTAATTTTATTGCCCCCAAGAAGTGGGGAAAAATAAGTATCAAGATGTTACAGACCCAGACTTTGAGAAAGGACCCTATTATAGTAGAAGTCATTCTAGGTTTGAAAAACCTTTTCAGGTTGTGATAGTTGCTGTGAAGATAATAAAGCATGATACAATGTGGACAGTAGTGGAGTGCTGGGTTATTTCTTTAGGTCAGGGTCAGGCATCATCTCTGAAGTGCCACGGTAGGAAAGGAAGCAGCAGATGGCTAGCGGGCTCTTGCAACAGACTGAGGGAGCAGAGGGGAAGTAGATGAGTCGAGGCGCAGTCGGTGGAGGTGGGACAACGTGGGCATATTCCGTTATGTTCTGCACGTGGTACCAAAATGGCTTACATTGAAGGATCTGATGTGGAAGTGAGAAGCAGCAAAGAGTCTAGGATAACTGTGATTTGTGACTTGGGTTACTTGGAGATACTGTTTATTAAGCTGGGGAAGATAGGAAAGAGACAGGAGTAGGGTTTTGGCAGGACACAGTAGGTTTTGGGAAAGAATGGGTTGATAGGGAAATCAGCAGCTTTGTTTTGAATGGTACTGAGATATCCGTTAGGTATCTAAGACATCCAAACAGTGAATGAGTCAGTTATACCATAACCAAGATTTTTTAAATTGTGATTTTACTAATCCTAATACAGACCTTCCTGGTGATCAGGGTTCAGTTTTTTGAAGTTACCGTGGCATTTATTCATGCCTCTCATTGATGGGGTGGTGGGAACAACCCAGCAGACAGTGAAACCACTGTGGTTTGAGTTGTTGTGGCTGAGATCATTCCATTATCGGGGAAGAAGGTCATAATACACAGTGGAATGCTTCCTATGTCCATTTCTCTAAGAAATAACTAATAAAGTGAGCTGTGAGATTGGGAGATGGGGTGGAGAGAGAGAGTTTACGTAGAGACAGTGAATATGTCATTTTCCATGCACTTTTTGAGCATTTGCCCAGTCCTTGTGATTGCTGCCTCCCTGGGTGTTTAGCTCCTGTCACACTGAAAGCTCCTTGCTGCAGTAAGCATTTAAAGATAGATATTATTGGTTGCAAGCTTACGTTGGCTCATTCATCCTAGTGAACAGAGGTGTCAAGAGGAAAAGCCGGCCACATTGCTGCCTCTGAGAGAGGGGTGCCTTCTTCAGTATGGCCTGTACCTGGGAGACTCTCAGCAGGAAATTTTGATTATCATGTGGATTTTTCATTGTAACAGCATTATGCAGCGGGCCACTCTGTATCTCAGATGGGCTTGAGTGGTCAGCCAAGAGCAGATGGGCAGGAGAGTAGACTGTTCACCTTGGGGTACCTAAACCTTTCCCTCCTCACATTTGGCCCCGAGGCAGCACTAGAAAGTGAAGGAGGTGATTCCTGCTCTGCCAGGTCAGCCTCATCTCTTGGGTTTGGAAGGCTGTCGGCTTTTGATTTATTTTAAGCCCGTCAGAGGACACTGAGTTATCAGTGACCCCTTCGGAGGAGGTTAGTGGACTGTTCAGCTGTGACCAAGAGAAGCAAGGCTCTCTTGGGCCTTGGGGGACGGTCCTGGATGTCTGGGGGTATCAGATCATTATTTTAGATTCCACATATCCACAAACAATATCTTGTGATATTTGTCTTTCTCTGTACAATTTTGATATGCCTCTCAATTATCTGGAATCTTGTCGAAATGGGGTTTCTGATTTAGTGATCAAATTAGGACCTGAGATTCTGTATTTCCAACAAGCTCCCAGGTGGTAAGATGATGCTGGTCTGGTGACCACACTGAATTGCATGACTTTGAGAGAAATAAGGACAGGGTAAATAAGAATAATCTTCTCTACAGCATTTGAGAAACCCTCAAATAAATTCCTGTGTGGTCGCAGGCGACTGTATGAACTGATGGAAAATTCTAGATACACTATTTGTTTAGTTTAGATGTCAACTGAGCCTAGTCTTTCTATAGGCTTGTTCACAGTTTGCCAGCACTTTCCAGGGCCTTGAGAACTGAGCTTTTCTTTTGCACGCTCATGTGGGAGGCCTGTGGGAGCTTCTGGAAGGTCTGAGAGTTAGGCGGGGCATGGGATATAGACTTGACTTTGGCGCTTAACCAGCAGGTAAATACAACAGAGGAAGTCATGGCTGCTAACCACGTGCCTTCCGTTACAGGCGCAGTCCGGGAATATTCAGAGCACTGTAATGTTAGACAAACAGAAGGAGCTTGACGGCAAAGTCAGAAACGTGAAAGACAAAGTTATGGTGAGCACTGAAGAAGTGTACACATATTCTCTGTAGCTTCTTATGGGGGGATAAAAGCTTCAGTTGCCCTAGTGTAAACATTGTAACTGGTTTCAGTTTTTTAAGTAATTGAGAAGAAAAGTTTCCCCCAAATTCCAATCTCTAAGTAAACAAGTTGATGCAACCAATGAGCAGATAGATATTTATGGCCCGCAGTATAACTTCCAAACGTGGAGCTTATCTTCTCCTTCCTTGTAAGGTCATGCGGTAACTGTGGACTTTGCCCCATCACCCAGTGAACAAGCTGTTGCTGCTCGAAGTTGCCCTTTATGGCTTCACTTCTTAAATTGGCATGTTCCTGGGGTTACATAGAAGCCCAGGATGAATGTAGTCTTCCTCAAACACCTGTTTTATTCCAAGGCTTGGATGGGGAACAAAAACATCTTAGGGAAGGAAATTTCTGACATATTCTGATTAGAGTAAAACATCTGCAATAACTTTTAAGATAGAACTTCCTAGACCACCTACGGGAGCGGTGCCCTTGGTGGTATATGTTCACTCCCCTCTGCTGTGGGGCTGCGTGGAGAGGGTGAGGAGTCCAGCTTTGCACTGAACCTGTGTCTGTGAAAGCGGCCTTTCTGTTGAGGAGCCCGCTCTCCTGTGGGTCTCCAGGTCACACTAGCATGACCCTGACTTTGTGCTTCAGATGGCATTTTATCAAACAGGTTATTTGGAGCAACTTTACCTTGCTGCCTCTGAGGGAAACATTTCATTAAATGAGTAGACATCAAGTGGCCCAGTCCAGAAATAGGCATATGTTTTGTTTTCTAAAATGGTTGTTATATATTTATTAATTAAGTAGAAATTATTCATTATTAGAATTTTATGAATCTTATTCATCTCTGAGAGAGCAGGATTGTATCCATGATTTTCTGGGTCCTATGGAAATAATAATCTGTGTCCTAAAGTCTTTGTTCTGAGTGTGGTGGAAAACTTGTTTATGTCTTTACTTGTAGAGTATTGAACATGAAATCAAGACCCTAGAAGATTTGCAAGATGAATATGACTTTAAATGCAAAACCTTGCAGAACAGAGGTAAGAGTTAACATTTAAAGCAGTGTCCATTGCCTGTAATTTTTTCTGCCTACACTAGCTAGCAAAGGCAAGTACTCCTTCATATTTACCAAATATTTTATGACTTAATTACTAGTGTTGACTTCTTGATGACCAGGTCAGGGTTTTTTAACCTCAGTGCTATTGACATTTTGGGCCAGATAACCATGTTCTGCTGGAGGAGGAAATGGCAATCCACTCTAGTATTCTTGCTGGGAAAATCCCTTGGACAGAGGATCCTGGCAGGCCACAGTCCATGGGGTTGCAAAGAGTCGGACATGACTGAGCACACACACAACCTTATTTTGGAGACTGTTGTGTGCGTTGTGAGATACTCTGATAGCTCAGTGGTAAAGAATCTGCCCGCCAGTGCAGGAGATGTGGGTTCGATCCCTGGGTTGGGAATATCCCCTGGAGAAGGAAATGGCAGCTCACTCCAGTGTTCTTGCCTGGGGAATACCATGGACAGTGGAGCCTGGTGGGCTGCAGTATGTGGGGTTGTAGATGCTGGACATAACCGACAATGACAGCAAGCTGGGCACTGTAGGGTGTTCAGCTGCGTCCCTGACCGCTGCCCACCGGGCGGCAGTAGAGCTGCCAGTGTGTGATCGCACGCTCAGCCCTGTCTGACTCTGCGACCCTGTGGACTGCAGCCTGAGAGGCTCCCCCGTTCATGGGATCTTCCAGGCGAGAGTACTGGAGTGGGTTGCCATTTCAAAACTGTCTCCAGATGTTGCCAAGTGACCTCTGGGTGACAAAATCACCCCCCGTTGACACCCACTGGTTGTGTGCTATTCACTTTACTTACTGTGCTTCACCTACTGATGGACATAGATGGATAGGTGTTTGGAGCTCCCCACCCTAATCCCCAAAGTTTCTTCAAATGTTCCAGCTCTGTGTGCACACTAGAGGTGAGGTTCAGCATTTCCCCCTTGTTTTAGAGCAATTTTACTCTATTTTGTTGTTGTTGCTTGTTTTTAATGATGACAGGATGTCCACTGAAAATAACCTCCAAGTGTGCACTGTGTAGAACAAGCAGAGTACTGCTGTTAACCCTAGCAGTCCTTGGAGGATGTCATGGTAAAATGGAAACATTATTTGTAATAATGTGAGTAAAAATAGGAGAGAAAGAAACCTCAATGACACTTTTCCAAATTGTTTGCTTCTCTTTCAAAGCCACGGAGATGCTTTGTATCAATTTTGTTTTAAACTGAGGTTTTTAATCTTGTCCCTTATGTTCATTCAGGTAATATTCTGACAGTGACTTAAGAACCAGACAGTACTATTTCTCATTTACATGAGCCGCTGAAAACAAGGACTTTGTTTCAGAGTGTCCTGTTCCGGTATTTTTTTGTTTTGTTCAATAGTGGTTGATGAAGACCAAGCTTGGACCTGTCTTCAGATAGCATTTGGGTCATATTTTCCCTAAATGTATGTGAATCTTGCCTTCAGTTGGTTTTGTCGTCTCACATTTTTGTTTATCTGCTGTCTCTCCCAATTCACAGAACATGAAACCAACGGCGTGGCAAAGAATGATCAGAAACAAGAACAGTTGTTACTCCAGAAGATGTACTTAATGCTGGACAATAAGAGAAAGGTAGCATTTCACGTTCCAGAATAACACAGTACTTTTGTCACAGACTGTAAATAATGAACTTGAAATTTAGAAATGAGGCAAAAATTATTTTTTATAACCATTTGGCTTAGTGCCCCAGTTGAGAGGAAAGAATAAAATCCCATGATTAAAGATGTGTTTATTTCACTGTGTGTCTTTCTCTCCCTTTAGGAAGTTGTTCTCAAAATAATAGAGTTGTTGAATGCCACCGAACTTACCCAGAAAGCCCTGATTAATGATGAACTGGTGGAGTGGAAGCGGAGACAGCAGAGTGCCTGTATTGGGGGGCCCCCCAATGCTTGCCTGGATCAGCTGCAAAATTGGTAAGACTGGCAGCTGATTGGTGAGCTGCATAAACTTGTAGAGTGAACATTCAAGCTGTGTTAGTTGCATGGACCCTGTGAAAACTTCCATTTGGAGTTGGACGTAATCCAGCTGCTGCTTGCCCTGGAAGCACTTGAAAAGCACAGTGTTGATCACACCTGTGGCCATGGTCAGCTTGGTGTGGAGCACTCCTCTCTCTGTTGGACACATACTATGGGATCTGTCACTTGACTACGCCATCACACCAGTGACATGGTCATCACACAACACATTTAACAATGTAAGTCTCAGTGTTTCATTCAAAATGAAAGGGCTCGAGGCATTTTCCAGGCTTACATGAAATAACAGTGGGCCACTCATTCAGCCATCCATCTAGCAAATATTTATTATATGCAGTATGCCAGGTACTGGGCTAGGACCTGGAACACAAGGTGAATGATTGTTGGTTGTTGCCAGCAAAGAACTTTCACTGGGGAGATGGGAGATGGACGTGGTAATAACTACTTGGTGAAAGATTGCCAGGGTTCTAACAGAGACCATTCAGAGTCCATGGAGGATGAAGGAAGGAGTCACCAGGAAAGATAAAGGGGACAAAATGGCCTTGCACTGACTCGGGAGTGAACAGGAAAAAACTTCACAGGCCAGAGAGGAGAAAGGCGTGGACAGAAGCTGCAGGGGGGGAAGGACCTGGGCCCAAAGTTCTTACATTGGGTGGCTAGAGATTCGGATGCCAGATCCGGAAGGAGGAAAACAGAGCAGACAAGAGGCTGGAGCCTGGTCGTGGAGGTTCCTGTACTATCCTGGGAACTCCAGAACTTTCCCAGTCAACACTGCTGAGCCAGGCAGGCCCTTTATTTAAATGGAGATTCATTTCTCTGATTTTTGTATTTAAGTCTGAGGATAGACTAGAGACAGAAAGGCCTGTATTTCTGGTCTGCTCTGAGGATGTTTGAATGCCGAATTCCAAAGAATAGCAAGGAGATAAGAAAATCTTCCTCAATCATCAGTGCAAGGAAATAGAGGAAAATGATAGAATGGGAATCACTAGAGATCTCTTCAAGAAAATTAGAGATCCCAGGGGAACATTTCATGCAAAGATGAGCACAGTAGAGGACAGAAATGGTATGGACCCAACAGAAGCAGAAGATATTAAGAAGAGGTGGCAAGAATACACAGAAGAACTATGCAAAAAAGATCATGACTCAGATAACCATGATGGTGTGATCACTCACCTAAAGCCAGTCATCCTGGAATGTGAAGTCAAGTGGGCCTTAGGAAGCATCGCTACGAAGCTGGTGGAGGTGATGGAATTCCAGTTGAGCTATTTCAAATCCTAAAAGATGATGCTGTGAAAATGCTGCACTCAATATGCCAGCAAATTTGGAAAACTCAGCAGTGGCCACAGGACTGGAAAAGGTCAGTTTTCATTCCAATTCCAAAGAAAGGCAATGCCAAAGAATGATCAAACTACTGCACAGCTGCACTCATCAGCAATATCTCATACACTGGCAAAGTAACGCTCAAAATTCTCCAAGCCAGGCTTCAACAATATGTGAACCATGAACTTCCAGATGTTCAAGCTGGATTTAGAAAAGGCAGAGGAACCAGAGATCAAATTGCCAACATCTGCTGGATCTTTGAAAAAGCAAGAGAGTTCCAGAAAAACATCTGCTTTATTGACTACGCCAATGCCTTTGACTGTGTGGATCACAGCAAACTGTGGAAGATTCTGAAAGAGACTGAAATACCAGACCACCTGACCTGCCTCCTGAGAAATCTGTATACAGGTAAAGAAGCAATAGTTAGAACCAGACATGGAACAACAGACTGGCTTCAAATTGGGAAAGGAGTACATCAAGTCTGTATATTGTTACTCTGCTTATTTAACTTACATGCAGAATGCATTGTGCTAACTCCTGGGCTGGATGAAGCACAAGCTGGAATCAAGATTGCTGGGAGAAATATCAATAACCTCAGATATGCAGATGATACCACCCTTATGGCAGAAAGCAAAGAACTAAAGAGCCTCTTGATGAAAGTGAAAGAGGAGAGTGAAAAAGTTAGCTTAAAACTAAGCATTCAAAAAACTAAGATTATGGCATCCGGTCCCATCACTTCCTGGCAAATAGATGGGGAAACAATGGAAATAGTGGGAGACTTTATTTTCTTCGGTTCAAAAATCACTGCAGATGGTGATTGCAACCATGAAATTAAAAGATGCTTGCTCCCTGGAAGAAAAGCTATGACCAACCTAGATAGCATATTAAAAAGCAGAGACATTACTTTGCCAGCAAAGGTCCGTCTAGTCAAAGTTATGGTTTTTCAAAACCATATGGTTTTTCACAACCATCATGTATGGATGTGAGAGCTGGACTGTAAAGAAAGCTGAGCACCTACGAATTGATGCTTTTGAACCGTGGTGTTGGAGAAGACTCTTAAGAGTCCCTTGGACTACAAGGAGATCAAGCCAGTCAATCCTAAAAGAAATCAGTCCTGAATATTCATTGGAAGGAGTGATTCTGAAACGCCAATACTTTGAGCACCTGATGCGAAGAACTGACTCAGTGGAAAAGATCCTGATGCTGGGAAAGATAGAAGGCAGGAGGAGAAGGGGACAACAGAGAATGAGATGACTGGATGGCATCACTGACTTGATGGACATGAATTTGAGCAAGCTCTGGGAGTTGGTGATGGACAGGGAAGCCTGGCGTGCTGCAGTCCGTGGAGTCACAAAGAGTCGGACGTGGCTGAGCAACTGAACTGAACCGAAGGTTTTAGCATTGCCCAGGGAGGACGGACAGAGCTGAGCAGACCAGGTGGAAGCAGTAGAGTCAGTGGGCAGGAGTTGGGTGATGGCCTGGAGCAGTTCTGAAGGGCCCAAGGACCAAAGATCTCATGAGATTACTGTCTGGATTGCTGTTTTTGTTTCTTTTCCCCCAGGAGTGGGGTGAGGTCCTCACTCTGATCATCTTGGGCCACATGGAGCCTCTTGTGGAGATTTGAATGCCCTCCATTGTCCCCCACTGTGCTGTGCAAGCATTGTCAGCATTTTCTTGTGTTCCTCGGCCCAGACAGGATTGGGAATCACTGGGTTAGAATCCCTGTGGGACGCGCCCGCCTGCCATTGTTATCCTGCCTCTCATTTCACACCCACGGGCTGTGCTCTTGGGGCTGTGACCTGGATTCAAGGACTGAAAACACCAACTGGAGGAGATGTTTTTCACTGGGGAGTTGATGCTCTTATCACTCCAGGCCAGGACTTCCACAGTCCAACACTGCTCAGAGGCTCCATCACCTTTGGTTTACTGTCAGGATGGAGGAACCTGAGAGTAGTCGGCAGCTTTCCTCCTTGGTTTATACATATTTTGAGTGTCTGATAATGATTAGATTATGTACCTTACCTGTCTTTCAGGTCAGCGACGTAGTAACGCCTGTTCTCTTGTCTCCTCCTAACCCGGCTTGCATCCGCCCTCTGTCTTGCTGCCTTGACTCCAGGTGCCTTCTTCCTCCTCCCTGCACAGTGTCACTGCCCTGATATAAAATCTGCAGGGGCCCCTCACTGCCGCCACATCACCTCCTAGAGTGTCTGCCTTATCGTGTCCCCTCCCTCTGCACCCCGCCCCCTTTACCCTGTGCGTTTAAGTCCCAATTATATGATAACTCAGTTGAAGTTCAAGATTTCTTAGACAGCAGTCCTCAAACTTTTTGGCACCAGGGGCTGGTTTGTTGGAAGACAGTTCTTTCACAGACAGGGTGGGGGGATGGTTTCAGGATGATTCAATAACACATTACATTTACTGTGCACTTTATTTCTATGACATCAGCTCCACCTCATATTATCAGAACCAGAGGTTGGGGACCACTGCCCTAGAAGCTCCCACTCCCCCGCCCCATCTCTGCTCACATCCATCTCTGCTCACGTCCATCTCGGCTCATGTCCATCTCGGCGGGTGCAGAGGCATTTTATTTGGGCTATAATCATTCAGGGCATGTTAGTTTTTTCTCACAAATAATGACTCCTGGTGGCTCAGATGGTAAAGAATCCGCCTGCAGTTCAGGAGACCCAGGTTTCATCTTTGGGTCAGGAAGATCCCCTGGAGAAGGGAATGACTACCCACTCCAGTATTCTTGCCTAGGAAATTCAGTGGACCGAGGACCCTGGCGGGGCTACAGTCCATGGGGTCACAAAGAGCAACTAACACGACTGAGCAACTAACACTTTCACTTTTTCACTTTACACTAAGACAAGATTTGTTCTCTGTTTCTCCCTGCACTGCAAAGCTGGGCAGATAACATCACAACATCGTTTTGTCTGTAAACAGTGCTTGTTGGTTTGCGTGACTCTCTGAATCCAGACTGCTTTGCGGCTGTCTCTGATGAAGACTCCGTGGCTTGTGCCTCCCCAGGTTTACCATAGTAGCGGAGAGTCTGCAGCAGGTTCGTCAGCAGCTTAAAAAGCTTGAGGAGTTGGAACAGAAATACACCTATGAACATGACCCCATCACCAAAAACAAGCAAGCCTTATGGGACCGCACCTTCAACCTCTTCCAGCAGCTCATTCAGAGGTAACTTGAGCAAGATGTTTTTGCACCTTTTGCAGTTATTTTACCCAGAGGAAGATTTTATGGTAATTCAGATAATTTAGAAGGGTTTGGTAAAGTGTGTAAAGATGTTTATGGCTTCCCTGAGCCAGGTCTTCCTGAATCCCTGTTTATGCCAAGGGCCTGTCTTTCTTGTGACCTCTGACTCCAGTGACCCGTCTCCTTCTCCCTGGCCAGTCTGTGATGAGACCTGTTGAGTCTAACTTGTATTTGCCCTCTCGTTCCTATTCCGTGGTCTCATCACATTTCAAGCTCTCTACTGAACTCTTACATGGTAGCTTTTCAAATGGTTCCGCCCCAGCCCCTTCTTCCCTAGTCCCTGTGACCCTGTGCTCTGCCATAGCAGAGTTCTGCTTGATTTTTCATCACCTGCTACTCTGAGGGGAGCCCCTCATCTGGTCACCGAGGTCCCACCCCCACAGCCTGGCCCTCACCAGCCGTTCCGCGTTTGCTTTTGCGCACGCCCCACTTCCAGGCAGACTTCACCTGGTGCCCAGCCTGGACATCTGCTTCTCCATGCCTCTCCAAACAATAGTTCCTCTGCCTCAGAGCTTTCTTCTCTGGTAGCTCATTTTGAAACTGCATCCTCAATGTTTCCGCATATATCCCATCATGAAACTTTGCCAGAGTTTCTGGGCAGACGCTGTCTCCCTTCCAGAGCTATAGTTCATTCTTTATTCTTCTCCTGTTCTGGATTTTGTCATATCATTATCTATGCATTTCTGTTATCTTCGTTGTAAATTGGAAGGTCTTCATAGACAGAGATGTGCCTTTGTCATCTTCTTCTACCACCAGGGCATTGTGCAGGGCCTTACCCAGGGCTCGGTGTTCCCAGCGTGCCTAGGAGGTCAATAAACGGCCCTGAGCAGAAGAGTAGTTCATATTGCAGTTTTTATTTATTTATTTATTTTTTCATACTGCAGTTTTTAAATGCTAACTTGATGTAATAAAAATGTCTTCTGTTCCCTGTGGCTAATGTCCAGACAGGAATGTCCAAATGTTTTATTTTGAAATAGATGCACTCAACTTTTATTCTCTACCTTGATTTTGAAATAATCAAGGACATTTACTTGGGTTTTGGAGTGTATATTTTATTCTTTTTTTAAATGAAAATTAATATTTGGAAGTGTTTATTAGGTAATAAATATTGCTAAACAGTTTTACTAGAATAGTAATTTTCCAAAGGATGTTAAAATGTAAGTTTCAAAGCATGGTGGTAAGCACTATGCTACTTGGTTCATTTTCAACTATAGTAAAATATGTTTTTATGTTACTGTTTTTTATTTTTAAATTGAGATATTATTGATATATTAACATTATATTAGTTTTAGTTATACAACAATAGTGATTTGATATTTGTGTATGTTGCAAAATGATCACCACACTGTTGAGGGAGCAAATTTGATTCTTAAATTTGTAAATGAAGAGAATCCAATTGAGAATTTTCATTGTTGAAGAGTGTCACAGATCCTTGCAATTACTGACTTTGTTGAGTGCATCTGTTAGGCTTGGGGATGTCTTTATTGACTGTAAAACTTCAGTTTATTCATCCAACTGATTATAAGTTTTTCAACTGTTTTTTAGACTGTGCCCTCTAGCCCCCTCTCCTCCTTAGGGAAGATAACTTTTTACTGCCTCAAATTTAATGGAAATGCTAATTTATCCTTTGCTGGGTATTTATAGCTCATTTGTGGTGGAAAGACAGCCCTGCATGCCAACTCACCCTCAGAGGCCATTGGTCTTGAAGACTGGAGTCCAGTTCACTGTGAAACTGAGGTAATAAAGAAAAGATGGAAGCCCCACCCTTCCTTAGGGCTCCCCTGGTGGCTCAGATGGTAAAGAATCCCGCTGCAACGCAAGAGACCTGGGTTCATCTGCGCCGAGAAGATCCTCTGGAGAAGGAAATGGCAACCCACTCCAGTATTCTTGCCAGGAGAATTCCATGGACAGAGGAGCCTGGTGGGCTACAGTCCATGGGGTCGCAAAGGGTCGGGCATGACTGAGTGACTAACACTTTCAGTTTAACTTTCTTTCCACACCTCCTATCACAAAATTTGCACCCCAGCTTCCGTCCACAACATGTTTATATAGAGGGGTGCTTTAGGGGAAGTAATTTTGCAGTAGGTATTTTAATATGAATTCTTACTTAGAATATCTAAGAGTCTTTTCTATTCAGCTAGAAATATAACAAAGATATGTGTGTATATACACACACCCCACAATTTTTTCCAGTTATAGGTGTAATGAATGTTTACTATAAATAGCAATTCAAAATTGCAGAACTGCACATGGTAGAGAATAAAAGTTCCCAGCAGCCTCATCCCCTCTTGAGCATGAGCCTATAACCTGAGCTTTATGTTCCCCCTGAAATGGATGCAGTGTGTGTAAATGACTCGTACATTTTTCTGGTGAGTGTGTTTGTTCATAACTTTCATCAGATTCTCAAAGTTGTATGTGATCTAAATATCTGTAGACTACCACAGGAAGCAGCCTGGTGTCAGTCCTCCCAGAATTTTGTCCATGTATACATGAATATATAAATAAATACATTGTACTTTTATATACATGTGTTTTTCATGCATAGACTTGCGAAAGTATATATGACATGATATATTTCATTTTTAGAAACCAGAGTTCTGCTGTCTGTTGTTCGGCAGACTGTTTTTCTCCTTCGTAATAAATTGTAGAAATGTTTCCATACGAGAATGTCCAGCTTTACTTTCTTCGGTTGCATGGCTGCATTCATTTATTAATAGCTTTTCCTCTACTGATGAGCAGCTGGACTCAGAAGAGCTGGACTTACCTTCAGAGTTGGCCCTAGTCATTTTTTCCATGGTGCTGCTGAGTTAGGTCCACAGGTGCTGTGTCCCGGCTACCAGTGCTATGGCACAAGACTCGGACACCCGTGAAGTCCCAGCACTCAACTGGCACGGGAAGCATCTCATCCCACCACCTGCTTGACTAAAGGGAGCCAGCCCGTGAGGGGCTCTTCCCCGGGCCTCTGGCTCATCAGAACAGAAACACACTGGAGTCTCAGCCCAGGGTTCTGTCCCGCTATCTTTCCACACTGCCCTGGAGTGGTTAGAGAGATGACCCTCATTTTCCTGATTGTGGGTCAGAGTTTTTATTTTCTCCCAACAGGTTAAGCATTAGATACAAGTTTTGGTAAAGGGTAGAGTTTGCTATTTTTTACCTCTGTTGTTGTTTAGTCACTCAGTCATGTCCGACTCTTCGTGATCCCATGGACTGTAGCCCACTGGACTCCTCTGTCCACGGGACTTCCCAGGCAAGAATACTGGAGTGGGTTGCCATTTCCTCCCCAGGTGATCTTCCTGACTCGGGGATCGAACCCGCATCTCCTGCATTGGCAGGCAGATTTTTTAGTGCCGAGCCACCAGGGAAGCCCATTTTTTACCTACAGAATTAGCCCAAAATAGAAATTTTGATAAACCCCAGTATTGGTGAGGCAGAATGGAGAAGCAAGTGCCCTCACTACATTTGGTATGAATATAAAATCTGTTGCTTGCTGTCAGAATTTAATATTACAGTTTTGTCCCAACAACTTCACATATAGGAATTTATCCTACGAATACACTTAAAAAAAAAAAAACCCAAGTAAACATACAAGGATGTCAGTTCCATTGTTCGTAATAACCAAAAACTGGATGGGGTGGGGCTTGTTGAAATGTTCATCAATATGGATTTGGCATAATAGATAATTTTTAAAAGTAATTATGACTTTTATTTTTCTTTTCAGGCTGCTGGTGAAGTTGCAAGAGCTGAATTATAACTTGAAAGTCAAAGTCTTATTTGACAAGTAAGATATCACTAATATCAAAGCTACATATACTGTTGAAACGTTGGTTTTGTTAACCAAACATGGATTGATGCAGTGGGGCTGTCTGTTAGTGATTCCAGCCCATTTAAAGCAGTAATTCCTGGGTTTTGGGAACTTTATCTAAGAGCTGGTATCAGCGTGCCTTTTTAGACTACAAATGAACAACAGTATGAGTGCACTTTATGCATATATGCTTGTTCCAAGCAGCTACCACCTCAACTAGGCCAGCCCCAGAGAAGGGGTACTTGATCAGGCTCCAGGCCACCGTGATTCTTCGGCCAGTGTGGGCCTGTTTCTGGAGTGAAACTGATGGCATTTTGGGAGGCATGTATGGAGCTTGCTGGCTTTACACTTGTCTCATCTGAACAGTAGGGACCCAGGAATGGGCAGGCTCTCAAGGGGTCTAAATGGAGCAGGTCTATCCTGTTTTGTCCTTAGACCCTGAACCCAAACTAGCAGTGACCCAGGCACTTACATTAAGGAACAAGATGGCTTAGCCCCTACCATTCCCCCTTGATATATTTAATGCTTTTGTTGGTGTGTTTACTACGTTTCAAACCATTTGTGATACTCTAAGTCACTTCCCTCTGCTTTTGTCTCTTTCTATTCCTGTAACTATAGCCTTCTTTGTTTGTACCTTTGTTTTCCTCCCATCTTCTTTGGTTTTTCTTTGTACCAGTTAGCTTTTGCTGCATAACAGATAACCTCAAAACTTGGTGGTTTAAACTCAGAAACTTATTATTTCTATTATTCTGTGGGCTGTGGGTGGTCCTTCTAATCTGAGCTGGCCTGGTTGTTGCTGGGTGGTCTAGCATGACCTCACTATATGTCTGAGGTCTTGGCTGGGATAACTGGGCCCTTCTCTGTGGGGCTGTCAGAGCGGCCAGCCTGGGCTTTCTCACATGGCCGTGGTGTTCCAAGTGGATCCAAGCAGCAGCGTGCTGGGCCTATTAGTCCAGCCTTGGAACTTGCATAGCACTGCTCCCATCCATGGTGTCTGGAAAAGCAAGTCAGAGTCCCCTGAAATTCAAGAGACAAGGAAATACGTTCTGTGTCTTTAAAGGCAGAGTTGCAGAGGTTTTTGTGGCCACCGCAGTTTTGCCACAGTCTGCTTAAGTCAGTATTTCTTTTGGTTTGTTCTTGCCTTTTTGTCTTTTCTATTACAGTTCTGAAGTTTTCTTCTTAGTTTTGGCAGGAAAATAGGTCACTGTCATAGCTGACAGTGATTATCAGCCACAAAAGCACTGAACGTCTAGTTGGAACAGGAAAGGAGGCTAACTCATTTAACTGGGAGCGCACGAATGGTCTCTGACCTTCACCTGCCCCTAACATACATTATTTGTCCAGAAGATGACAGCATTATCGCTGAACAACAGAATCCTAAGATTCTGGTCTCTCAAAATTTTAACCTCAGGTTTAAAACTTGGCAGTTTCCCCAAATAATTGACTATTCAGGTACTTTCATGAAAGGATTAAAACTAATAAAGAGCAAAAATAAGACTCGAGCTGTCACTTTGGAGGGTCCTCTGAGTTTTGTGACCCAGAGCCGTACTCTCTGCTGAGTCCCCAGGCCTTAGCTCATTGCCTCCTGCAGAGGGAATAACTCCTCAGTAAGCTGTGATAACTCAGGCTTACATTTCCTGAGGGTGCGCTCTGTGCTCTCCTTACCCATTGACTAGTTTCTTCCTGCCGGTGTGCTGTGTGGTTGGTTCTGCTGGCAGGATGTACAGAAGAGAAAAGGTGAGGCCCAGTTTACTTGCCCAAGGTTACTCAGCAAAACTTGGCAGTGCTGGCGTGGGTTGATTGAGGGACTGAGTGAATGATAGGCAAGAAAACCCATGGGTATAGATTTATTGGTTATTGATCTTATACTTTTATATGTTTGTGAATGCGAATTTCACATTTTAAATACACATGTATGATTACATTTTTTTTTTCTTGTAGAGATGTGAATGAGAGAAATACAGTAAAAGGGTACGTGAAATACTTTGCACTCTGTTCTGCTCTCTGCTTTCTTTGTGTGTTGCTTTAACAGTCCTCAGCCTTTTAAGTATCCCTTCCCTGTGTTGTCTAGGTTTAGGAAGTTCAACATTCTGGGCACTCACACGAAGGTGATGAACATGGAAGAGTCCACCAATGGGAGTCTGGCGGCAGAATTCCGACACCTGGTAGGGAGACCCGTCTCCCCCTTTTCTGCTGTGTCTGGCTTGTCAGGACTTGCTTACAGTGGAGCGGCACTCTGGCCATATGTGATGTAGAGGGGCTCCTCTGGGAGGAGACTTCTAGAGTTTGTGGCTGGGGACTTCAGCAGGACTTGGGGAATCCTGGCTCCTCCTCCTCATCCCAGGGCTCTTCACTCTCTCTCTCTGCCTGTCTCTCTCTCAGATATGCCTTCGTTGGGGGAAGTGAGCTCAGTAAAATATTCCACAAGCCAGCGTGCACACAAGCTCTCTGCATGTGGTCCCTCAACCACCTCAGCGATCACTCACTCTAGACTCTTGGAATTTTCCTGAAGGTCGTTACTCCCCCACATCCTGACTGGTGCTTCCACCCCTCCAAGTGTGGCAGACCCCAGGGGTGTCTCCTGGGTCCCTTCATCACCGTCTCCTTCCTGGGGTCTTGCCTGCGACCACTGTCTCGACCACTTTGTCTCTGGGGGAGTAGGGCCCGGGCACTGGGCAGTGGAAGCCAGCAGAGGGGTTTATAGAGGTGGTGCCTTCTCCCCTCTCTCCCTGAAAATGCGGGGCTGCCAGGTGTTCTGCAGAGGTGATGGTGCTGAGCCCTATGCACTTCCTGGCCTGGAACCTGCAGCCTTTTTCTTACTGGCAGCCGTTTCAGGAGCCCACAAACTCATGGTTAGGAAGCTGGACCTTAAGTGAGAGCCTTGGTTGAAACCGGGAGTTTGAGGGTGTCCAGAGCTGTTCCGGGGGCTCCAAGTTGCTTCCTTAAAAGCTATGTGATTGAAGACCTTTTCAAAGGACGGTCTGAGAAGCTTGAGACGCTGGGCCAGCCTGGGAGTTTCTGCCGAGGGAAGCAGAGGTGGGAGAAGCTGTGCCCACAGCCTGGGGAGCCTGGCTCAGCTGCTGACGGTGACAGGACGGTTTAGGATGATCTTGCCCAGGGGAGGGATCAGCATGCCACTTCCCTGGCTGCTTCTGAACCCTGCGGTATTTGCAGGGTGTCAGGATGCTGGGGAAAGGCACTCCCCCCTTCACCTCATAAGCCCCTACAAGGGTCACTTCACCTCCTGTTCTGCATCCTGTAAATATTGTCACCTCCTTCATTCCAAGTCCCCACTTTGTTTTGATTTGTAGATGGAAGTAGCAACTTTGAGGATTATTATATAGCTATTTACTAAGATTTTTTTTTTTTTTTAGCAACTGAAAGAACAAAAAAATGCTGGTGCCAGAACTAATGAGGTAAGTCTTTTTCTGTCATGACTGGTCTCCTAACTAGCAGCTCTGTCCCGTGAGCTTGGCTCCATGGCCCTGGTGGTCGTGGGTGGCCAGGGACACCTCACAGAGGGGTGAGCAGTGGGAAAGAGCAGCAGGTAAGAGCAGCAGACAAGCTCTGGGATGTGGTGTATGTGTGATAACAGTAAAGCCACTCTCTGCGTGTGCTTTCTGGTTGTCAAGTGATTTTGCACATGCATTTTCTGGACCCTCACCAACAGCCCAGCGGAATAGGTGCAGTGGGCTACTATGTTACTCATATTTCACAGGTGAGGAAATTGGACCACAGGAAGTTTGCCAGAGTTAGCTAAGTGTGTACAGGAAATAATTATCAGAGCTAGAATCAGAGGCCAGCTTCATGACTGCCCTGCCAAAAACTGTGTGCCCTGTCCAGTGCCATTATCCTTCTGTCAGTGCCCTCGTCACAGCTTGTCCTTGAAGAGCTATGTTTGGGATGCATTCAGAGATGAACCACGGGCAGACGACAGAATGGCTGGAGTTGCTTTGGTTTGGTCGGATTTTGTGCTTTGTGCCTGCCGAGCACTCTGTCCTTCCCTACTACAACCAGCAGAGGGCGCGTGGCGCTGTGGTACAGGTGCCCACCTGGGCCTGACCAGTCCTCATCTTTGGATCTTGACTCTCAGTGACCAACTAGGAACTTCATTTCCTCGCCCAGGAGCAGGGATGGAGTCACACCTCTCTGGTTCTAAGGTTGTTGTGAGGCTCACATTAGATAATGTGTATGAAGGCACTTGGAGCACAATAACCTTTCTACCCAAACCAACCAAGGCACTTTATAACCTGCCAGGCTTATGCAAATCTCCTCTCCTGGTAGATAATCACACTTGGAACATGTTTACACTTTCAACCCCTTGTCAGCCTGAGGTATGCAGCCCAGGCCAGGCAGGTCCGTGGTGGGCAGAGGGGACTGAGGGCTGGGAAGCCTTAAGTTGTGAATAAACTCATTAGAAGTTTCTATTTCCCTATCAACATTTTTCCCCCTTGATCCATAACCCTTGCCAAAATATTAGAAATCTGGTCTTTGAGAGAACACTGTGATACTCAGGATAATTAAATCTGGGGTAGATTATTAAAAGCTAGAATCTTCTAAATTGTCCCTGATTGGGTTCATGCTTTCTGGAGCTTGTTAAAATGCTTAGTAGTTTCTTGCTAATTGCAGGATCAATGAACAAATCACTGTATTTGTGTTTTTCCCATTTTCTTTTTCAAGGGTCCTCTCATCGTCACTGAAGAGCTTCACTCCCTTAGTTTTGAAACCCAGCTGTGCCAGCCTGGTTTGGTCATTGACCTTGAGGTAAGACTTACATGTTCCCGGTATGGGAAACTTTATTTTTACTTTAAACTGATACATGTATTTTTATTTTAGACATACTTATCTAATTGTTAAAAACAAAAAAAAAGATTGCTGTTTTCAGCCAGTACTATCTCAATGCTAATTTAATTGTTCAGTCTGCTACAGAACTAAGTTAACCTTTGTCTGAAGTGAAAGTTGCTCAATTGTGTCTGAATCTTTGCCATCCCATGGACTATACAGTCCGTGGAATTCTCCAGTGCAGAAAACTGGAGTGGATAGCCTTTCCCTTCTCCAGGAGATCTTCCCAACCTAGGGATTGAACCCAGGTCTCCCACATTGCAGGTGGATTCTTTACCAGCTGAGCCACAAGGGAAGCTCCAATAAGCCAATGTTCCAGTTAAGATGTCCTGTGTTAATTTTTTATATGAAGCTTTGACATTTATTTCTTAATTGAAAATGTATGTCAAAGATAAATTCAACTAAAAAGACTGTACCTTTACATTCTTAATTTTCAAGAATGAAATATATGCAAATGTACATAGGGTTCCTTGTTTAGCTGTGAGGCTGCATAGTGGTCTGCAGGTACTGCTTCTGGGATTCCGAGGATTTCAAGGTCTTTGTCATCTTGTAGACGACCTCTCTACCCGTCGTGGTGATCTCCAATGTCAGCCAGCTTCCAAGTGGCTGGGCCTCTATCCTGTGGTACAACATGCTGGTGGCAGAACCCCGGGTAAGGAAAACACATCTATTTTCATACTAGGGTTTAAAGACTGCCCCCCCCCCCCCCACCCCGCTCTAGTTCTGCATATTTGAAAGAGCCTGTATGGACCAGATGTTGAGGGGAAAGTGGCACAACTCAACTCATTGCTAAGCAGCTGAGTAATTCTGGAATAGCAAAGCATTCCAGAAGCATGTGTATGTACTAGAAATTAAAAATTATTATTTTCCCTTGTGAATAAGCTTGGGCAACAGATGATTTTGTGTTATGCTTTTTAAAAATGTATACACTTGCTAAACAAGCAGGCTCTGTTCTTAAGAGTGTGGATACTCATGGTCGGTTAATTACAATTGATTCCGGTTATTCACTATACTTAGGTTCTTTGAAGTCACTGTGAACACTGATGTAGCGAATACTGAATCACTGTGCCTAAGGGAAGTATGGGTTCCTGCCAGCCTCTGGCAAAACCCTCGCGTCTGCAGATCAATACATCACCTTGTTTTGTTTAAAGATCCCTTATCTAACATGCTTGTTGATTCATTAACATCGAACTCATGGCAAACAGCTTTATAACTCAGTCTGAACAAAACTTATATATCATGTGCATTTGCTCCTTAAGGCATTTAGGAACACTAGACAGCACTTCAACTTGCCTTTGAAGGGCATTTTAAATGAAATCACCAGCAAAAACCCTACAGAAATGTAAAGACCAGAGCATTAAACAGACCTCAAAGAGGACACTTGGGTGTAGTGTGAGAGCTGAATCAGGAAGGCGGAGCATAGCTTTGTTTGACTTCAACCGGAAACATACATGTTTGGTGACTCAAAGTTTTCACGACTCTGTGCCTGGGTATGTCCACAAATGAGTGCCAAAGTGCCACGAGTATTGATTCGGGAGTTAAATTTTAGTGAGTAGATAAATGCACAGATATGAGTCTGCAAACAGTGAGAACCGTTTCTCTCCTGCTGCTGTGGAAATACGTGTCAGAGACTAGAGCTGAACTTTGGCGCGGATCCATGTTTCCATGCTGAGCTTGTGACTGGTGACTCATCAGCGGCTTTCACCTTCTCTGTGTTTTCTTTCCAGAATCTGTCCTTCTTCCTGAACCCACCTTGTGCACGATGGTCTCAGCTTTCAGAGGTGCTGAGTTGGCAGTTTTCTTCTGTCACCAAAAGAGGTCTCAATGTGGACCAGCTCAACATGCTGGGGGAGAAACTTCTTGGTATGAGCATATTCACTTTTTATATAACAGTCGAAATTCATGAAAAATATCTTGACTTCTCCTTTCCCCTCTTTGCTCTTCATTTCATTCAAGGTAGGAGAGTGTTAGGAATCTATTGGCTTTTCCAACTGCCATTTATTATAGCTAAGTGAGAGTGATGCCTCACTTTAGAAGGAGTTGCCAACTTGATAGAAGATTTAAATGAATCATTTTCCCATTATCTCATATTAACATTTCTGAGCAAGGCTCCTAAGGGAAAGATTTCTGAATTATGTAAAATATATTAGTTGCGGCTAAAATAAATTCTTGGAGAAAGGTGAAGTCTGAGAAAGATAAAATCTGATTAACCTTGGGGAGAAAAAAGTAAGCCCCCAACATTGTAAGAGTCAGGTCCTGGGGCCGCCCACCCCACAGCACACACCCAGGTCTCTCATGTCAGGTGGCCCAAACGGGAGGAGACAGTGCCCACATCAGGAGATATCCATGATCACACCACCTGATGGGCAGGGTCCAGGCCAAGATAGAGAATTCTCTTTCAGTAGCTAATGTCATGGATTTATTAGTCTTCTACACTAAGCAAATCTAAGACCCACCAGTCTCAAGGTCAGATTTTCAATGAATGGGAATATCGGAACTATTTTTTTTTAAATCCACAGATGGCTTTTTTTTCAGATTTGCTCTCTGTACAGCAGAGCTGCGTGTCCTGCAGGCATCAGTGTACTTTTCCTAACCTGGATAGCTCTCAGCAGTGCCCTCTCTTGGCCATGTAGCTGTCACAGTGGGGGGTCTTGTGCAATTTAGTTAAAAATAAGGAGTCACCTTATTCCATTCCCTTGTTTGCTGAGAGTTAAGATGGATACCCTTCCTGCCTGTAATGGCTTATCTGCGATTCTCTGTGAAGAGCGGTGTCAGTCTCACCACTTCTCATGGCTCAGCCGCTTTGGTTTGTGTAGATGATGACCCCCAGGCTTCCTTCCCCTTTCATTTCTCTCACTTGCCTTTTGGTTTGCCTCCCTGAGCCTGTGTCCTATTTGGAGGAGGGCTGAGGGAAATACCTAATTAATATCTAAAATAAGCATATAAAGTTGTGTCAGTTAAATCAATCACCTGCAAGTGATTCTTGGTCTTAGTTTGCACTTGAAAAAAACTGCAGGGTCACTGGGAGAGGAGCCTGGTAAGGAAGGTGGGGGAGGAATGGCAAGTGACATTGCACAAGGAGGGACCACCCTCGGCTTCTCAGAAGGCACAGGGAGCTAGTGTTAGTGATCTGAGACTACTGACCTTGTACAAACACGCTTCCTTGGTTGAGTGTTGGCTCTTTGAGAGCAAATACAAGAGCCATCATCCCGGCCAAAGCTTCAGAATTGATTCCCAGTTCCTGAAAAACCTTGTTTTTATTTTTTTAGGCCCCAACGCCGGCCCCGATGGTCTGATTCCATGGACAAGATTCTGTAAGGTGGGTGCTGTCTCGGATTTACACTCTGAGTGCCTTCTGCTCTCTGTAGGGTTCTTGGATTTCTCAACACGGTGCTGGCTGCTCCATGCTTGCTTTGGCAGGTTCCTCTAGCCCACAGAACCCCTAGGACATGTTGTTTACTTTCCTTCAGCGCGAAGTTTAGGCTCCAAATGTGAGTCTGACAGGAAGCACCTGTCTGTGTGATAACATTCTCTCACATCCGAAATGCATCCTCTGTTTGCTCACACTGGACCCTGGCTCGGCAGCATTTTAGCCCCGTCTGTGAGTGACATGTGCTCTGTGCCGGCGTGGACAGCCTGTGGGCTGGATGACCGTCCCCGAGCCTACTCAAGCAGGGGCCCAGTTCAGGGGGGTAATCAGACCCCGCTAGGGTCACCAGACAGTACTGACAAGCTCGAGCTCCTGGAGTTCAGCGCTGGGAAGGCACTGTGATCACCCAGGGGGTCATGCCCTGGCCGGGTCACTCATGTTTGGAGAGGGAAGCAGAGTCTGGCTCAGGAAGTGGAGAGCTGGGTGTCTGAAAGCCGATAAGAAGGGGAGGGACAGCTCTGTAGGAGACAATGCTAGCTTTGGCAGCTGGCTAGCTTTGGCAGCTGGGCAGTCTTTGCAAACTAAAACCCAAGGGTAGGAGGAGACAGGAGAAGTCAGAGTTTTGGATTTCTTGGTTTCTAATGTGTGCATCTATTTATTTACAGGAAAATATAAATGATAAAAATTTTCCTTTCTGGCTTTGGATCGAAAGCATCCTTGAACTCATTAAAAAACACCTGCTTGCTCTCTGGAATGATGGGTAAGGGCCACTGATAGAAGTAGTTTTGAAGCATATGTTGAGCACAGACTCCGTTACTGCAAGGCCGAGATAGTCCTGACCAAGACAGACTTTATTATTTGGCGAGGCTTGTGAGCATCCCACTGAAACAGATGCTTATGGGCTGTCCCTTCAGGGATTCATGATAGTGGGCCCTCATAAGATTAAACTTATACTTCCATAATAAATGTATATGCATTTTAAAATTAATTTTTTATTGAAGGATAATTGCCTTACAGAATTCTGTTTTCTGTCAAACCTCAACATGAATCAGCCATGGGTACACACATATCCCCATTTTCAAAGCTGAATTTAAAAATCCTGAGTGCCATGCATACATTCATTCTAAAAAAATTTCTTGAGCATCTTCTTTATTGCCTCCCGGTAAGGAAGAAAAAGCTGTTGTTAACACAGTAAGTTCAAAGTGTTAGTCACTCAGTTGTGTCCGACTCTTATACAACCCCATAGACTGTAGCCTACCAGACTCTTCTGTCCATGGTGTTTCCCAGGCAAGAACACTTGGAGTGGGTTGTTTCCCTTCTCCAGGGGGTCTTTTTGACCCAAGGATCGAACCTGGGTCTTCTCCATTGCAGGCAATTCTTTACCAACTGAGCCACCAGGGAAGCCCAACTCAGTAAATCGTTTCTAATTTATTCTCAGGGTCAGTTGAGATTTCAGCAAAGGCTTTAACTTGGTCAGAAGTTAAGAATATGAAAATGGATTGTCTGAGCTTTCCTCTTCACTGTAAAAGATGCATAAATTCAGACATTTTCAATCACCAAGTGAAAATGAAAGGCTCATTAATCCAGAAAGTATTTATTGATCATCTATTGGCACCAGGTTAATGAGCTTTTGGGGGAGTTAAGCATATATATGCGGAGAAGACAATGGCAACCCACTCCAGTACTCTTGGCCTGGAAAATCCCATGGACGGAGGAGCCTGGTAGGCTGTAGTTCATGGGGTTGCTAGGAGTCAGACATGACTGAGCGACTTCACTTTCACTTTTCACTTTCATGCATTGGAGAAGGAAATGGCACCCCACTCCAGTATTCTTGCCTGGAGAATCCCAGGGTTGGGGGAGCCTGGTGGGCTGCCGTTTATGGGGTTGTACAGAGTTGGACATGACTGAAGTGACTTAGCAGCAGCAGCAACAGCAAGCATATATACATGTGACTGAAATGATTCCTGAAGTGTCAATGAAATGGATTTTAAAGCATCTAAAATAGTCTATACATTTTTATCCTGTGTTCTTGTGTCATGTTGCAGTCATCTTGGTTGGTAAATGAGCAGGAAAATTATAGTCATGACCAAACCTCAGAGTGCCTCCGTTGATCACTTTCCACATCCAGGTGTATCGTGGGCTTTATTAGCAAGGAGCGAGAGCGGGCCCTGCTGAAGGATCAACAGCCCGGGACATTCCTGCTGCGCTTCAGCGAGAGCTGCCGGGAAGGGGCGATCACGTTCACGTGGGTGGAGCGGTCCCAGAATGGAGGCGGTAAGCCAGGGTTTCTGCATACATCCTTATTCAACCCACAGGTGCAAGCCCTTCCTCTTCACTGCATATCAGTTCGTACAAATAATGAGCTTGTGACATAAAATTGCAGCCCCTGTACCCCACCCCAGTTGAGCTTCCCTAATAGGATTTATTGCATACCCAAGGGTTTGTGGGACTCTGCCTGGAACCTGTTGTATATGTAATGGTTGTTTAAAAGACAAGGTCACATTCTTTCCTCTTGTTCAGGTTTGATACCTGTAGGTGAAGAATGCGAGTCACTATGACTGGCAGCTAGTTGTTGGGAGGAAACCCATCCTGTGCAGGCATAAGCTTCCAGAACCACTGAAGGGAATCACATGTGGATGTGCTAGGATGAGGGCTGGTTGTTTGAGGGGGTTCCTAGGACTGGTTCTCGACCCTGCCTTCAGACAGAGCAGGTGCACATTTATCTGGGCTGTATCTTGAGTTTCTATCTGATGCAGTACATCCATGGCAAAACAGTTTTGAAAACCTAAGTATACAAAACAGGTTTCTGGGGAATAAGAAACACTTTTCAGTGGAGATGAAAAAAGGTTAAAGACAAACTGGTGACTTTTCACTGTTACTTTTAGTTTGCTCTGTTTGAAGGATTGGAGGGAAAACTGATTCCAGTGACTTCTGCCTTCAATTAGAAGATGCGATAAGATGGGATGATTTTTCTACTTCTATTTATTTTTTCTTCTGGTGAAAAACAGGAGAGCCGGGATTAGAGCCCAGGGAGGGAGGACAGTAGGTGGCAGAGCCTGCCTTTTCTGCTTCTCGCCTGGCTGTTCTTTCTGGAACTTGAAGAGAGATGGAGCTAGCAAAGCAGGCAAAGATGTACACCACTGACAACTGGGAAGTCTTAGCAGGGCAGTACCAGCTTTGGTCTGAAGTTCAGGAGCAGAGTCCCTAGAGCACCTGACCTCTGGACTATGAGCCCCAAAGTGAGATCCTGAATCAGTTAGGAAGTTAGGAACTAGTAGTTCCTAGTTCAGCAGGAACTAAGACCAGGAGCAAATTAAAGTTTGGGTGATTTTGCATTCAGAATTACAGAAAAAGATAGCAAATAGGGTCCATTTTTGGTTTGTTTAAAAAGTTTTCTTTGTATTGTCATCATTTATTTTCATTTTTCAATATGAAAAGAAGTGAAGTTTTCTGTTAACCTAATCTATGGCTTGAACCAAGAAGACTCAAGTGGTAATTAATTATTTTATAGGTGTCTAATAAAATTTTTTTGACTAGACTTATAAAACTAAGTAAATAATGACAAATGCAATGTTATTGAGAGTGATGATGGCCTTTGTTTTTCCTGTCTTAATGAAAGGATAATTATTTAGAAATGAATCAGTTACACACTCTGTGATGAAACTCCTAGATTATGTTTGGTTCTTACCAGGTTCTGTTAAATCCATAAACTCTGCAGTATTTTGTTTCTTTCCTCTGTTGTTCTGAGCTATTCCATGGGGCTCACTTTGCTTTTCTTCCTTTTAGAACCTTACTTCCATGCGGTTGAACCCTACACAAAGAAAGAACTTTCTGCTGTTACTTTCCCTGACATTATTCGCAATTATAAAGTCATGGCCGCTGAAAATATTCCAGAGAATCCCCTGAAGTTTCTGTATCCAAATATTGATAAAGACCATGCCTTTGGAAAATACTACTCCAGGCCAAAGGAAGGTAAGTGGGGAGAGTGCACAGGAGTTGCCTGCTGAGTCATAGCACAGCCTAGTTGTTGCCATGGTTATATTCTCCATCTTGTCCAGAGGTTTGCAGACAGGCTTTAATCCCACTCCTCCACACAGCCCTTACCTTCTTTTAAGTACAGGGTACCGGCATAAATTCTACCAGCCCATCCCTTCCTTTTGAACTGGTAAAAGCAGGCCTTCAAAACATAGTACAGTTGACACATAATGCATTGTTTGGCCTGATACAGAGAGTTAGAAAGGAACAAATGATTTTTGATTTTAGGGGTGTTGGAAAAGCCCACTTCTGGTCTTCTGTGTTTGTTACATTTTTTACTTTTTCTGAGTGGAAGGGATAAAAGGACCTTTGATGGTCACCTGACTTATGTCAGCCCACGCCTGAAATTGAGGAAGCGGAGGCCTGGGTGAAGAGAAGTGGTCCCTGCATGGTGACCCAGTAAGTTACGAGGCCTCCTGCTCACTGAGAGCAGGTCTGGGCTTAGCACACAGGTCTTCCACTACTCAGTCTTCCTCAACTGTATTTGAGAAAGTGGAAGTTAGACTCACCTGCTTTAGAATATGCCAACAGAGTTAATGGTTTTTCAGGATCTTATCTCAGTATTAACACAATTACTTGGGGAGAAGATGCCCCCAGCTCACCTTGACTGATGTGTCTGTGACACCAGCCAGGCCAGGACGGTAAACCAGATACAACTTCTGTAGGACTTCAGGCCTTGGAAAGAAAAGCCTCTCCCATCTTGTCTATGTTCAGCACAGAACGTACCTCCCCTTTTCTTCTCGTTGTTTCTGCATCCACACCACAATTTCAGATGACCCAGGCAGGGAATCTAACCTGACTGCCAAGGAAAACAATCCAGTCTTGATCAAAGAAAAAGTTGATTGTTCTTTTTTTTTAACTTATTTTTGGCTGTGCTGGGTCTTTGCTGCTGCTCAGGCTTTTCTGCAGTTGCAGTGCTTGGTCTTCTCCTTGTGGTGGCTTCTCGTTTTGCATAGCATGGGCTCTCGGGGGCATGGGCTCAGTAGCTGCAGCTCCCAGGCTCTGGAGCACAGGCTTATTAGTTGCGGCGCATGGGCTTAGTTGCTCCTCACCATGTGGGATCCTCCCGGTTCAGGGATCTTTACCACTGAGCCAGCAGGGACGTCCCAGCTGATTGTTCTTGTGTGATATCTGCTAACGGAAAGTGTCCACGATGTCTTTGCTTCTAGCCCCAGAGCCTATGGAACTTGATGGCCCTAAAGGAACTGGATACATCAAGACTGAATTGATTTCTGTGTCTGAAGTGTAAGTGAACACAGAAGAGTGACATGTTTAAAATCCTCAAACAAGCCCCCTGTCCTGGCTGGGGCCTGTTGAAGATGCTTATTCTTTGCTTTTCCATTGTAATTGCTGCTGTCATCATCACAGTTGGACTTGTCGGAGAGATCCTAATTAGAGATACTTGTGTCACTCCCTGTCAGTGATTCACTGCCTTTATTAAAAAAAAAAAAACCCCAAACAAGGTTGTATTTAAGGTATATAAGTTCTCCCCAAACTGATATTTTGAAAGAGTGTAAATAAAATGAACAAAAATTGATGAGAGTGGGAAAGCAGTTCTTTTTAATGTAGAAAAGGCCAAAGTAATGATTGAGATACCTTTTTTTTTGTCCGCTTGCTTTTATTTTGTTGTTTCATTTTGTAAAAGGTAGAAAAAAATTTGGAAAAGTCATTGTCAGTTATTTGGCCTGCAGCACTGTCTTGGGGTGAATGGATGTAGCCTTCATGTAAAAACCCTCTGGAGCAGCTTTATCTGCATACAAACCTCAAGGTAGGGATGAGGGACTCCCCAGACATTTCCTCTGGCGCTTCTTGGGCCAGGGTAGGCGACACGCTGCACATGCTTGCACCCAGGTTTACCTAGGCAGAAGTGGTGCAGGACCCAGACTGGCTATTTCTCGCTCACATATCCAGAGTCCAACGTGTTTCATGAGGGGCCGGGCTGGGGACATGAACCTCTTGAGATCCTTGCTTTTTCAAATGTATCTTACAATTGCACACATTTGTCTTGAAATAGACTAAAGCGATGATTCAGTCACAGGCCAGAGATGAAATGGCCAAGTTGGTGGCACTGCTTTCACAATTCAGATGTCAACATTTCCTGTTTTTTTCTCCCCCATTTTAGTCACCCTTCTCGACTTCAGACCACAGACAACCTTCTTCCCATGTCTCCTGAGGAGTTCGACGAGGTGTCTCGGATGGTGGGGTCTGTAGAATTTGACATGGTGAGTACCACCACGCAGGGGTGCTCTCAGTGTTGGCTCTCCGAGGCTAGGAAGGCTCCTGGCCAACCCTGGGCATGTCTGTGAGCTCTCAGAGGGGGCCCAGAAGCATGTTTTCTAGATAAGCTATGACAAGTTGGAGCCTGCTGTGTTTAAACAAGCTACATTGTCACCAAGATCTTTATTTCTGGTATTCTGCACCTTCCCCAAAATAATATTTCCAACATTTAAAAATTCGCCCTCTACCTTTCAAAATTATCCATGTAGAAATCTCATATATGAAGGAACTAAGATTTTCCTGATAAGAAAATATTTTCCTTTGGCCTGTTGTTTCAGCCCTGTGACTGAGTGAAGAGGTGTTATTTTTAGGAAGGGAGGAGACTAAAGCTTGGTAGTTGCAATCTTTGTAGAGACTTGGTGAGCCACAATGAAACACTTTCACCTGCTTTAGGTTTGAGAGCTAACTTGTGCCGCTCACACCTGGAGCTGTGAAGGGCTTGTCAAGAGTAAAAAGTTCAAGGAATGAAATACTGTCATGAGTGTCAGTATAAGGATAGGAACCAGGCTCTCCACCAAAAGAGTGATTCTTTCTTTGGGAGAATGTTTTTCAGAGTGTCAGAGAGTATTGTCTGCCTGAAATCTTTCCTCTTAAAAGTCTTATTTTTTATTGGCTGGATGTTTCCTGATGCTGTTTAATTTTAAGCTCTTTTCCACATGAAGCTATTCCAGTTCATTTTTAAAATTTTTCCTATTTTTTTTTAAAATCTCTCTGAGTCATCCCCAGTCTGAATTTATTGCTGTTTGCCCAGGCCAGGGCTGGAGGGGTTGGGGAGTGGTGAGGGGAGGTAGTCCTGGCACAGACTGCATTAAGTGGGGGAGGGAGCAGATGCCGGTTAAGAGGGCGCCATCTTCCGACATTCGGGGTCACACATCCTCGAGTTCAGGGAATGCATTTGTGTGTCAGTAGTAGTATCTGTTTAGACTCAAGTTTCTGGCATGTAACCTTATCCTTTTCCCTTACCTGCAGAAGTACATGCTAAAATCTTTAGAGACTGTGCTTCCTTACACCCTTCTGATAGTTGAGGCTGAAAAAAAATTACTTGGAAAAATGCTTAGGTAGTGTAATAGCAAAATAGTTCTATTGGCAAGTGAAAAACAAAACTTTTACATGTGTAAGGTTGCATTCTCTGTTGGGATGTCGTTCCCCACTCTGCTCTGAAGTGCTCTGTGAGCCCAGCACAAAGCTGGAATAACTGTAAAGCCCTGTTCAGAAACTGTAAGACCAATGGACAGAACCTCACAACCGTCTTGCTTGTTTGTTGTTCCCAAGCAGGTTGCATCGTCATGGTCATCATCGCTATTAATAGGCGACACTTCCTAAGCTCTTACTGTGCTCCGGGCATGCCGCTGGTCGTAACTTTAGTCCTCACACTGATCTTTTGAGCTAGATATTATTTTTTCTCCCATTTTACAGATGTAGGCAAAAAATCTCTCCAAAACTAACAAGTTTGCCTAAGATCAGGTAGTCAGTAAATGAGGGAATGAGTATTTGAATCCCCCCGGGGTGCCTCTGGGCTGCATGTTCTTGCCTACTCTCCTGAGAGCCCCCCTCACCTAGAAAGCTCATCTCTGATTCATTTAAAACCTGTACCCCAGGGAAAGCTGTGTGCACTTGACACTGAGTGTGTGCTATTCTGGCTTATTAAGATGAAGGCAGCGTAACCTTTGGGGGAAAGGCTTGTGTTTGTTATTTGGAAATCAGAGCTCCACCTCTATCACACCATTATCCCCCATGACCTTGAGAAAATAAGATGGATTAGTCCCCTCCATCTGTGCATGCAGCATGACTGCTTTCTCTGTGCTTCTCTGTGCTCTGGGAATAATAACAGTGGGAGCTATTTACTCTAAATAAATACTAGGAAATGGTTTTATGGCTCTGGATCCCCTCTCCCCCTGCCCAGGAGCCATCCATTCTATTCCAGGTGATTTTATTCATTTCATTTGTAGAATAAAATCTATTTTTGCACATACGCACACATACAAATCTCCGGATTAAACCCATGGAAGATTTAAGAGCTAAAACAGGCTCTAATATGGGCACAGCACTGGTGAGACAAAATAAAAGTTGGATTCTGTCTCCGAATTGGCTGAACTCCACCTTGTCTGTCCCAAATTGTCCTCCACCTTGGCCTGATTTCCTGCTAGCATCCAGTCTTGGAGTTAGGGCGTATGCTCTGAAATAGACCTTTCATGGAGCTGGCTGGTGTTCGGGTATGTCTGGGGGTTGTCGCACTAGAGCAGTAGGCACTGGAGCTGACGCCTGGTGCCGCTCCGGAGCTGGAGGACCGCAGCCTCCTGAGACAGAGCAACAGTGTTCTCTGTAGCCTGACTGCAGTATTTGTTTAGTCTGGCTTTCCTGTACAGTAAACTTCTTCCTCCAGGACTACATGAGAACCAGGCTTCTCTCCTGGAGGCCTTTGGGCAGTGCTGATATTAGTAGGAACATTTATTAATTGTCTGCTATTTTCCATCGACCATACTAAGCATTCTTCTGGGCTTCCCTGGTGGCTCAGATGGTACAGAATCCACGTGCAATGCAACAGATCCTGGTTTGATACCCAGGTTGGGAAGATCCCCCGGAGAAGGGATAGGCTATCCATTCCAGTATTCTTGGGCTTCACTGGTGGTTCAGCAGGTAAAGAATCCGCCTACAAAGCGGGAGACCTGGATTCGATCCCTGGGTTGGGAAGATCCCCTAGAGGAAGACATGTATTTTTGCCTGGAGAACCCTCATGGACAGAAGAACCTGGTGGGCTATAGCTCATGGGATTACAAAGAGTCAGACATGACTAAGCGACTAAGCACACAGCACATACTAAGTATTCTACATATGCTGTATAATTTAACCCGTTCAACAACAAGTCTGTTAGGGACTGTTCGTCTTTTTTGAATAGATGAGGAGCTTGGGATTTAGAGGTTAAGGAACATGGCTTGGTCACACAGCCAGTAAGACACAGTAACAGGATTTGAATCCATGCTCACTTGCTTTCTGTCTCTCTAAAGACCACCATCTTTACATATTTTTACTCTCAGCCAGACTGAAACATAGGGGCAAAACCTTCACTGTGCTTTTCAATCCAAAATATTTTCCTAGGAACCCACTGTATACCACCGACTATTGAGTACTTGGGATTTAAAAAAAAAAAAGACTCAGTTTTCAAGAGGCGTGTAGTCTAGAGCTCTGTTGCTGTTGGTGTTTGGGGGGTGAGTGATTCCCGGGGTGGGGCTGTCCTGTGCATTGCAGAATGGATGGCAGCATCCGTGGCCTCTCCTCACTGGATGCCAGTAGGCCACACCCCACACCCAGCTATGATGATCCAGAATGTCTCCAGGTGTGGTCAGAAGACAGAATCACCCCTGGCTGCGAGCACCTGGAGTAAAGGGAGGGCCCAGCATAGACATGAGGGGGGATGTTTGTTTCAGGCTGTGTCCTGTGGATGAGCAGTTCTGGGTCTACGAACACCTTATTGGAGGCAGCTGGGTCAGAGGCACGGCTTGGGGAGGAGTTCCTAAGCCTTCTGCTTGTCTAGCCAGTACCTGAAACTCCTTCATCTGTTATTCCTACTGAGTGGCCTTTAAGAAAAATTCGTCATTTTCCCCAGGTCCGTCTCTCCCTCTGGCGTGCAGCTCAGCACTGCCTCACCCTTGTTTTGCATGAGCAGATTTGCCACATTTTTCAGTCCCCAGACTTGCCCAACAGCAGAAAGCTTTATGCAGCCTGGATGAATTGACAGAATTAAGCTGGCAGGCTGCAGAGTAATAATCCATCAGCTTAGGTGATATAAAAGGTCTCGATTAGGCCAGGAAAACAGATAGCACATGTTGCAGGCTCTCTAATCCCATGGTGGTTTTTTGCTGGGGGATGTCTTTCTACTGTAGGACACACAGGGAATGTTAGCTATGAGTCTGCATTTTATAGGAGCAGTGTAGTAATGTCACTACACTTTCTCTCTTACAGATGAATGCGGTCTAGAGCATGAATTTTTCTCATCTTCTCTGGAGACGTTTTTCCTTCCCACCTGTGATTCCCTTCTGCTACTGTGTTCCTTCACATCCTGTGTTTCTAGGGAAACTAAAGAAAGGCCAACAAATTTGCTGCAACCTGTTGATAGCAAGTGGATTTCCCCCTAATTCAGAAACATCTTTTACTCTGAAGGGCTTCATGCATCTTATTGAAGGTAAAATTGAAAGGTCTTCTCCACATAGAGGGTTTTACAGATGAAAAACATCCTCGTACACCAAAATCATCAGGACTAGAATGAGAGTCCCGAGACATTTAGCAGCATGTAGCAGATGCTATGTATAGTCAGGGCCTGATTGTTACAGGTGGTTGGGTAGATCATATGGTTATTCTTATTTGTTCTCTCTACTTTAAATATAGCCTGAAGTTTGCCAGTGGCTTGCCTGTGAAATAGTGCAAAGCTGTCCTGTATCTGGGCAGAAGATAGAAGCTATGTGTGTTATTATATTTTCCACACTGGCCATTGAAAACTAGAGAGATTCTCTCTTGGGAGAATTAGCTTTTGTTTGTTATGGCTTTATGATGCTGGCTAATATCAATAGAAGGAAGTAAACTTTCCAAATTCATGAGTAGTATCTTCCGTTTCAGCTTTAATACCAAAGTTGAATATATTCTGCCTTCATCATGAAATTGAAGTTAGTAAATGAAACTGTCTGTACAGTTCTATCAAGGGAGCCAAACTATTAACAACTCTCTTAAGGCAAATCCTATTATTTTTTCAAAAAGTTGAAAGTAATTGTAGATGTGAACAAACTCAGAAATTTAATGCATGTTTCTTAAGTGGGTTCACTTGTCTTTATTGTTATTAGCTGGTAGTTAGCCAAAATTTTCAAATCGAGAAGAAATAATAGTAACTGACAAATCATTAAGTGGAGATTATGAGAATCCAATAATTTGAAAACTCATCCTGTGTAACTGCATTGAGAATTGCGTATTTTTCACTGGCAAATGTGTTTCTCTCACAAATACATTACAAAACCATTACAAATGGTTCCACTCTCTCTCTTGTGCTTTTTCTAGACCTGTTTTGGACTGGATGATGTTTTGTGAAGTGCTGTGTTACTTACCTTGCCCCTTCCCTAGCACTGACGCACACAGAAGTGGTTTAGGGAGTGGGTTTGATAGAGATCTTCTAGATAATTTTCACAAACAGCTGTCTGCAGCTGAATCATATTTTTCTGCTGTCGCCACCACAATCATATTTTTATGTAAATACTGTATTTTTCTGGTGGGGATAAAGTTTTCTTGAGGTCTGTTTTAAAGTATGTGTGTTACATTAAATATAATACGTCCTTGGTATTAAACACAAATTAAAACCTCCTCAGTTTTTACATAAGATGATTGACATGAACCTGATTTTCAGTTGACTTTTTAAATTAAAATGATAAAGGAACAAAGAAGATAGCAGTTTAAAAAGGTGTTTCTAATTCCTGATATTTAGCTATTTGGTATATTTTTGCCCTCTAAAAATGCTTTGGCAGTTTCATTTTCCTGCACATCCAGAGATTTTGTTTACTTTTTTTAAAAGTATTAAAGTTATAAAGTTAGTCTGTTATAAATAATATTTGGTGTAAAGATTTTAAACGTTCCTGGCATTGTGTGTAGGTTTGATGTTTTTCTCATCTTATGTTTAAACATAAAAATGTCATTCCTTATTTTTAAATAAGATCAATATCGTTTTCGTAAGTGTTGCCCTCTCTTACCCTGATTAAGGTAGGTCAGTGGAGGAGATGAGAGAAGAAACATTACTGAGAGAAGTCATAATGAGTACCATAAACAACAAACAAAACCCTCTGGTCTTGGTGACCACCACAGCTGCCTCCAAGTGCAGAAATCATTTTGTATTTATTTTAAAGTGAATTTCAGTACTGCTATAATGTAAGTTTTTAATTTTAAAATACATATAAAATGTGACTATTGTCTCCATAGCAGCATCTAAAATCTACACCTCCTTGATGAGGTGAGATATTCCTTCCTGAGAAGTTATTGCACCCACACAAAAAGCTGCCATTTTTTTTTCTCCAAAGATGCTCTAAGCTAGAAAGCTGTGACCCTCTCAAAGTAAAAGACATTGAGTGCTGGGGAAAAAAAAATAAGAACCACTAGGTTAGACGTAAATTGGCAGGTTAGATTCAACTGTTGTTTGAGCTATCAGAGAATGGTGGTATAAGCTTGAATTCTGGCCTCATAGCAAACATGACCATTCTCATCTCCCTATCTGCAGTACTTATATCTAGGAAATATCAAGTTTTTTCATAACAAACATCAAGAGCATATTTCTCCAGGGAATGAAGTATAACAGATAATGCCCTGCCTAGCTGGTTATGTTTGTATTTCTATGTATTTGATCATTATAAGAAGTCACTGAGTAGATCCTGGTAAAGGGATGTTTGTGTGTTTTAAGAGTATTTCTGGTATGGTGTTTTATGAGCATAGAACCTTTATGTACCACTTAGGACAAATTTCTCCCTTTTCAGGAAAGTGTTTTCTGAAGTGGCAGTAAATAGCATTAAATGATGGAAGTCTATCTGTTGTCTGTAAGCTGAAATGGAATATTAAGTCTTAATTGAATGAAGAACTCCTTTCATATCTGATATCCCAAGAAAAAACCAGAAATGGTTTTGAAAGCTCTGGTACTTTGGGATGCTGTGCCCAGAGTAAGGGGTGTTTACTTGAGTGGCTTCTGCTTAGTAAGATTCATTTATTAGTTCACCAGATATATGTTGAGCACCTGCCATGAGCTAGGCACTATTCTAGATGTTTGGGAAACTAAGTTGGCAAAGTAAAACAGAGAGATCTCTGGTTTTGTGGAACTTAAGATGGTCTGAGATACTGAATTGTATGTCTAATACAGACATCTTACCTACAAAAACTTAAGAAAGATTTTGTGAAGCAAACATAGCTAAAAGCTATGAATAATTTAAAGGTTATACAAAAATATACATAATTTCAAACTAATGGCATTCATCCAAGAAAGGGTGAGAGTAGAGATTTTGGATGTCTCTTCCAGTTGTAAAATGTCAGTAATATAGACAAACTGTTTGACTGCTATAGCAAAACAGATTACTTTGTCACAAACAACTTTGATTGTTGAAAATGGACAGCCATGGCATTCGTGGTGTTTATGTACCTTCCCTGTGGTTAAAAGACCATGTGCTAACCCTGAACCAGGGGTTTCTGGCTCTGGGAGTGAGCACCATTCCATACATGCATGGACCAGGTTGGGGCTGCCACTACCAGCTGGTCCTGCTTAGACTCCAGTATGGCAGTACTGAGTTCAGTTCCCAAAATAGATGTCAAGACATTTGTGAAAATACCGTCTCTTTTCATTAAAAGAGGTTCAAACCCTCCTAGTGAAAGATTTCAATGTAGCAAATATTTACTGAGCACCTCCTGTGAAAGGATAGTGTTAGTTTCTAAGAGGACTAGAAACATGCCTTTGCGTCTTCTCACCTTCAGGGATGAAATGCTTACAGAATTTTCATCCTAATCATTGCAGTAACCCTACTGCAGTAGTACTCTACTACTGGCATAGTACCTAGGGCCATAGGAGGCATGAAAAATGCCTAGGTGTAGTTCCTATGTTCAGTGGAATTCCCAACCCAGTGATGTAAGAGAAAACCTTTTTTTTAAAAGAATCATTTTTGGTTTTTTGATACATGTATTTATTAAGCTGTAAAAAGCAACACTACCTGATTTCAATTAAAATAAATATTTTCCAATTTCAGAATACTTACAACTTACAGTTTTAAGATTAGATTCACTTTGGGAGGTTCTGGAAGCAAATACATTTATAACTGTACAATCCTCAGAAAGAACCTAAATCCAGCATCAGGTCATTCAGTTCCTGCCAGGCAGATAACAGCATCAAATGGTCAATAGCTGATCTAGTTCTGCAGCTGAAGGGCAGGATGGGCAGCAGTGGGGTATAGCACATTACACTCAAGAGATGAGATCATTAGAACGGAGACCAGCAAAAACAACAGTGTATACAAAGCTTTAAAGAAACACCACCATATAGAGCTCTGTGGTACTGAAAAAGCACATATGATCCTAAAGCCAGAATAAAAAGATCTTTGGAGCATACTGATGGCAGCAGTTAACAGCAGAGTTAAAAGCATTTAAGTGAAACGTGTTCATTATTATTACCAGCCAATAGCAAATAGCAGAGCAAGACCCAGTCTACAGTCATAAACAACATCATGGGTAAATAAGGGCACATTTAACTAAACCACAAAGATTGCACAGAATAGTCTTGATCTGAGAAAAAATGAAAACGCTTTGTTCCCAAGTAACAGAGCAAAAATTCTCAAAATCATTGGCAGTCACGTCTCAAAGTCATTCAAGTCATGTAACTGAACTATCTTAATGTTTCATTTAAATCACACAGAGCAGGCTGCTGTTGGACCAATTATTTAAAATCATTGCAATTACAGAGTGTTTACCCCATGATATCTTTGGGAATAATGCTGTTCCTCTGCAGCATTTTACAAATACTACCTGTCTACATGTCTGATAGACCCATGGGGCAGGAACACCCACCCACCATAGTCCACACAGAAGCACAAACTTGAGAGTGGCATCGTGCCTGATGCAGCTCTGTTAAGGAACACTAGCCTTGTTCCACCTGCCGAGGTGCTGCCTAGGCAATAAGGGTATAATGGCAGAAGTTACTGATTAGACTGGGAGCAGTAATTGAAACATTTGGAGGCCGCTGGAGTGGGATTGGAGCCACTGGGCATGACATAGCCTGGAAGCAGCAGTGTGTGCTGACAGAAAGGGGAAGAAAAAGGGATTTGTTATATTAACATAACAGCCAGCATTCACGTAGCTGAGGATTCTGCTCATTTCACTAAACACAGCTTCAGAGAAGTCCATTTGTGTGTGTGTATTTAATTTCAGAAATCCTCATTAACATACCCTTTTATACCTCTGAGGTATGACAGGATAATGTATATGTGCAGTTTCTCCCCAAGAAAAATGATGGATTTTGATTTTAAATAGCTTTTTCTTATTATTGAACTGTAAAGTCCACCAAAAATATACAGTAGAAAATCAGGAGAAAACAGGAGCGATCTAGTGATCCCCTAAACAGAATAGATACCTTGATGCAGACTTTTAATGACAGGTTTTAAAATGTTATTTGTAGCAGTTCCCATACCTTCAAAACAACTTTGGTAGCTTAGAGCACGTCTGAATTTATCCTGAAAGCTGAAAAATATCTTCTTAAAGAGCTGTCGGAGCACATCCCTTCCTTTTATTGGCTGATGAATTGGACTAATTTGTATTTAGCTTAGTAATTTGTCTCTGGTTCATCTCCTGTAGACAAATGGCATAGTTATAGCTCGGATGCCAGATACAGGAGGCATTTTCTGTTTTATTGTGGAAAACATGAAAACTGCATAGTATGCCAGCACCCGCTTTCCCAGCTAAAGGAAAGGCAAAAAGCTAAATGTCTGGAAAAGAAACTGGTCTGAGGGGATATAGAAAAAGGAAATTCTTTCCAAAACATTTTAACCACATTCACACATATGTTTTGGTCACCAAACATACCTTAAACAGAATCCCTGATAAAGTCTAATCAGATCTGGTCTATCCTACTAACAGTTGTTAACTATTATAATTTTTAGAGTCACATCATGAAGCTAGGGTGATGGGGGACATGTTAAACTCATAACCATAAGTGGATATAGTTGTTCACTCAAACTAAATCTGTATTTGAAGTCATGAAAATTACACTGTCTTGCCTAAAGGTAGCCTTGACCCATTTGGACAAACTGTACAATAGAGTTTAATTTATAAATGCATATCAGTAGATCATCACCATAAACTGTAAAATTCACAAAATACACAAAAATCATGAAGACCACACAGTAAAGCTAGCATTGGTAAATGTATCTTTTACATCAAATTATACAATGCACGAGGTAAATATTGCTCACATTATGTAGGGAGATTGTTTTATTTCTATTTTTTCCCAAAGAGATCAGATTTGTCCTGTGTGCACAATGAAGAAACTCCAGTAACACTGAAATGACCAATGTTGTAAAATATACATCACTACCAGATAGGAATACACACGTTCTTCATAATCATTTTCCACAATTACATAGGTAAGTGATTTAAATCTTGGGCTTAAGACTATTATAACAGTCCATCGAGATTCTTATGGACCGTTTGATTCTCCTTTCCATTGTCGGAATCTCCTTGAGGCGTGTACTGGACTTGGTATTCCTGCAGGATTTTAAATACGTCGTGGTGCCCAAAGTGCAGCGCTTCGTCCATGGGAGTGTTATTCCACCTAAACAAGTAGCACAGCACAGACAGGGTCATTAGGGAATTTCTGTACAAAGATGATAATCTTAGATTTTAAATGCAGGTTAAAGGGCCATTCAAACTTAGCTATTTACACAGTATTACAGGTAATATTGAAAAAAATGCAGAAAGATTTATAATCCAAAAAGTGATCTCAGAGACAAGCTGGGATATGGGGAGCAAGAGAAAACCATCTTCTGCAAAAGGGTCTTATTCATACTAAGTGCTTATGGAGGGGAAATTCTAGTGTTGACAGGTAAGAGAGATTCCTCTACTATTCCTGAATTTTACCTTCATGAAAAGCCTAAGGGATCACTCTTTAAATACAATGTGCAAAGAAAACTCAGCTGTGTAACATCCATCACCCTAGCCTTTGATAGAAAATTTGTGTTCCTGTCAATGTAAAATCACAGTGAATCTCCAAAGCCTGGAAATAACCATGGTCTTATCAGAGCTCAAATATTCATTGGAGGAGCAAGACTGGCCTCAGAGGAACTGACATTTTCATCATCTCTGGTAAGGATGGGACTTCAGGGACTCAACTGGACCCACTCCACAACCAGAAGAGCTACTCATTCCACAGGAAGTGTGCTTCTGGGCTGTGCTCTTTAGAGTCCTGTAGATGACGACTACTGAAGATGAGAAAGGAAGAGCTGCCAGCAGTGGTTCATCAGCTAATTAGCCTTTTGGAAGAGGCGTCAACACTGTATAACTGTAACAACCCCAGTAAATGACAGAGCATGATAATTACCTCCCCAGTTCCTCACAAACTATTCAGCTTCTCTTCCATCTTCTCCCTATTAGGTCACTTAAGTTCTCTGTGGCTGGTAGGCTCTCTGATTCCATTTTTGCACATGCCACTCTCACAAGCTTCTGCTTTTCCTTCTTTCTTTGTTCTTAACCTTTTACCTTCTCAGTGGGGTCCCAATGTAGAACTAAAAGTTTTTTAAGTAATCTCATTTAAAAATATTTTTGAATAGTTTGGTAGCCTGTTCTTAATTTTTCAAATCAGGTAAGTAACCTTTTATATGTAAGTAACATTTAACACAAACATGCTTCTCAAAAAACTGCTGAATTAAGTTGCCTTTTACTTCTACATTAGCCTTCATTAAGTTAGGGAGTCAGTGATCTAAAACGGAGATGGAGTAACTTTTCAATCATCTACAGCATATAATTACCTGTCTTTCTGGGAAAACTGTTACCTCTTTTTTTTTTTAAAAAGACTCTTGTTTTCCATGAAGTAATGCAAAATATCAACTCTACACTAAATTTGCTCAAGCCTGTTTTACCAATTTGAGGTGATACTGATTCTATGAAATAGAAAAACAAAGATGTGTTCGTCTAGCTTACATTCTCAAAACGTTGAATAACCAGTTACCACGTTAGTTACTGAGCTAAGTTTTGCCTCTCAGATGGGTGCTTCTACTTTCACATTCCTAGAGGTCAATTTAGGGCAAAAACCAAAACAAAACATTTTGATTCTTAAACATGCAAAGCATAGTAAATATTTCTAGCCTGTGTTAAACAGTGTTTTACTTGGGATTATAAATACTGCGGACAAGGAGAAAACACCCTCTTCAGTTCCTTGCTCTGGAAAAAGAGCTGGTGTGGACATTATATTTGGGGATAAACGGGAGAACTGTCTCCCGAACAGGAGGTTTTAGAATATTACCAATAAATATCATGATTGTGGTAAGCAGAGAGTTACCACACTTACCAAATTGCTAACAGTTCTCAGACACTGATGTCATAACTTTCCTGCATTTCCTGCAAGCTGAACTAATAAAACCCAAACCACTGATTTGAAAAATAGTAAAACTTTACTGAAACAGAAAGATCTAACAGCTAGAAAATAATCAACTTGCTCCAAAGTTACTTCATATAGTCCTCAAAGATCCAATCCAAACTCCTAATCACACGTATCAAACCTCTCCCACCAAATATTTTTTTCCATTCTTCTAGGCCTTTATTCTCCTTACTCACTGACTCACCCAGTTATGTAACTCCAGTTATATAACATGCCAGTGTACTAGTGCAGGATTTACTTCAAGCGTGTGTATGTACCTAAGCTGCACTCTTAACCCTCTCCTGGCCATCCGCCTTGTGAACAGGATTTATTGAAGGATGAATGTCAAGTTGCCACGTGGACCAGAAGGAAGAGGAGAGGAGCAGAACACATCCCAGGCTGATCTCTCCACTCTAGACAGACCACCCCTCTCTTCCTTCTGTGCTCTCAAATCCCAGGCTGATCTCTCCACTCTAGATAGGCCACCCCTCTCTTCCTTCTGTGCTCTCAAATCTCATCTCTTTCCCAGAGCACTGGTTAAAATTCAACTTCCATGAAGCTTTCTAAAACTGACTCCAACCAAATCCAGGAATTTCAACAAACTCCAATAGAGTTCTAGAACAGTAATCTCCTTACTAATTTTAATATACTCCTGCAAATGTTTATCTTGTCTGCCTGGGGTAGTCAAAAGCCCCACGAGGACAAAATTCCTATTTTATCTTAACAAACACCAAGACTTGTTTTCTCACACAATATACTCACTGACAGACTAACCAAGATAACTCTAAGAGAACTCCCTTAGGTAAACAAGAGGATCTAGGAGAAAGAATGATCTACTGAATAGCAACAAGGTTTTGTTTGTTGCCTTTATAAGGCTTCAAAGCAAGTTCATCTCCAACATATACAATGTGGGTTTAAATACACCCATCATTTAACTATTATAGCCCTGTATGATTAAAAAGCCTGATCTGCCAACTACGTGTTAGAAAGTAACATGAGGGCTCACCTGTCCTTGGGGAAAGGATTTACTTTGCAGGCTTCCAGGAGAAATTTAACAACTTCAACATGACCTACAGCCAAAGTAAATCAAGCAGGTTTTAGTGTTAAGTAGAAACTAAGTTTGAAAAAAAAAAAATAAACGAGTTGTTCATATATTACCCTCTGCAGCAGCTACGTGGAGTGCGGTTCTAGAATCGTAGTCTCGCTGTTCCATGTCCATGGCTGACAAAGCAAACCTGAAAATTTGTAAGCACAGCTGTTTACATTAATTCGCCTCTGTAACATTTCCTCCATCAGTTCAACTGAAGGTCCTGTGAGAAAGGTGTCATCCTTCACTAGGCTCACTAATGGAGACCCTGTTCAACTAGTACATGATGCCTTAGGTAAATGCCACCTCACCGCTCTTCTTTAGCTTTTGCTCTTTTTGGGTAAGAGGAAACATTTACCATCTCAAGTTTACAGTCCTCTGTGACCTTTCCAGCCTGGGGATCTGCAGATCATCAAGTGTTCCTATTTGCCCACCTCACTCACCTCCAAAGATGGAGAGTGATGATGGGTAGATGGGGATTGAGAAGGCATTGTCCAATTCCAGTAAAATACTAATACCAATCGGCCAGATTGAACAGTTACACTTGGGAAAACAGAGGACTGGACATTTCTAGGAAGTAGACTACAGCAAGACTAAGGCACTGGAAGGGGAAACTTAATATAACTTTGTTTGGATTATTATTATTAGAGGGAAATGTAAGTGAAACTTCACTTAGCTTTAAAATGGCCCTCTGCCCAGAAGCAATTTCATAAACATCTGTAAACCATATGCTACGCTGTTAACATACCTTCGAAGTGCAGACACATCTCCAGTATATGCAGCAAACAAAAGGTTTATCACTGACTTTACCTGTGAAGAAAAGAGAGTTCAGGCGTCCAGAGGAAAATCAATACGTAGAATGCACAACTGTCACCAGTAAGTGATTTCCACGTGCTTTGAACACTTCAGTGGGGTCACACACAACAAATTTATCACAAGGATACTGCTGTAAGCAAAAAGAAGGCACATGTGGTTTCTTTTTTCATAGAGGATTATGAGGGGAAATCCAACATTAAAGATACATGAGGGAAAGAATGGAATGCTATCATTGGCACAAAAGAATGGAAACTTGTGACCTGGAAAACATACAATTGGGACAACTGAAAACTGGAACCTTTTTCATTTAGTATGTCTCAGTGCTGGGAGCTGACTTGTATACTCTTTAAAAAATTCCTATCACATCATTGTTAAAAACTAAGTCATGCTATATAAATGTCTAATTCCTGCCAATAATCCCTGTCCTCACCAATCACTGGTTTCTTCGGAAATCTTTAGAGACAACAATTGGTGTTAAATCATCTCAAACTGTAAGAATAGGACTTCCCTGGAAAGTTAGTATTCAGTTCAATGCCCAGGCAGTACAAATAGGGCAGGGCAGCATTCCCAAAGCCTGTGACTCTGCCTCAGCCCAAAAGGTAGATAAATTCCCAAAATACTAAGTCGCTGACATGGAGTGCTCCTAGACATCAAAGTGTATCTTCTTTTAATATTATCCACTTTCTTGTCATTAATTAAGGGAAAGGCTAGTTACCCTAAAAGGCCATTGGATTTTGGTCGCTTTCATAAAGACTTTATCCAATACTGTTTTTGAGAAACCTAACTATTAAATGTACACTGTTTGTAAATAGTTCATAAATCCCCACTTTTAAACTTTGCAACTTAAACATTCATACAGATGATCCAACTGACACTGGACTCAATGGTAGAAAACAGTTGACCTGCTGGAATGGGAAGTAACCCAGCGATTCCATACCCTGGGAGCTGTGTTTTCTAGATTTTAACCTGGACAGGTTACCTTTCCTCTATAGCTTCCCTTTCCCACAACCTGTGAACTCTTAATTAAACTAGAATGAACTATCGCAGGACTTCTCTAATTCAGCAATTTCAAAATGTTTTCAAGTAGAAACTAGTCCAAAGTTACCATGAAAAAAAGGGTTCCTTGGTTAGCTATTTTCTTAAAATACTAAATTCCTTCTTAGAGATTCATGTGCATATGAAAAACTCTGTAAAGTTCTGCAGAACAGGAGCTTAACCAGCTGAGCACACCCCACCTGTAAATTTTACTAGTAGTTACTGTTATTAAGATCATTGCAGAAAACCTTACTCTTAACTCTTTCAGTCTGTTGGCTTCCCTTCCAGCTACTCTTTACTGCTCCTACCCAGCTTGCACCATGTCACCCTACTAACATCACGTTCAGAACTGTTTTCAAATGTGTGTGTGTGGGGGGGGGGGGGCATGGTGGAGAGAGGATAGGAGTTTAAGAGAATCACCCAGAATGTTTTAAAAGTATATGTAAGCATCTCTCTTCCCATTGCAATCATCCTATTCCCACACCTCAATTTGTATAATTTGAAAAAGTTTCCGGGTGATTCTGATATGCATGCCTACAGGTTATGAACCGCTGTTCCAGGTACCCTTCTTTCTTAATTGGATCAACTTGTAATTCTCAATTCCCTCGTGCTCTTGGGCCCACAGAAAAACACGATGGACTATTACAAATGATTCTCCATCACTTCCAACCAGTCTTTCATTGCTGCTTGACCATTTTTTCCCCCTTATTGGTTGGTTCCCTTTCATACTTTCTTCAGATCTTTAATACCAATGGTGACCCCATGATCCTAACCACAACTTTATTAAGACGATAAGTTGTTTTCACCTCTCCTTCCTCTGTTGTGCAAAATACTGGCTGAGTATCTATGCTCTCTTCTGTCCCTCCTTCACTGGTTCCCTTATCTTTGCCTTAATCAGACATGACCATCCTATTTTGAAAAATCAATATACAACCCACTATTACCTCCTTTCAGTGCATATTTTCTGAAAGTATATTTTTAATTCCCTGCAAATTACCTTCACACCCACTATTCCCTCTCAGTAGTACTCTCAAGCTTTAGCAGCCTCCCTCAGCCTGGAATTTTTCTGATCGCTCCAACACACCCCGCCCTCACTCCTTGTCTTCCAGCAGGCTGATTACCAGGTTCTCCCCCATGCTGGCTGCTCCGCAGTCATTTCCCATTTTTCACTGCCTGGTAACAGTCCAAAAGTGGTCTCCACCTTCTTGTTTTTCAATATAATTTTCCTCAAATGTTTCATATATCCCTGTGGGCAGAATGACTTCCCAGTCTGCATCTTTAATTAAATCTTTGTTCTCAAACCTGGGTTCTAGAGCTCCACTTGCTTGTCATGCTGTCACTTCAAACACAAAAACAGCAAACCTGTCTGCATCCCTGATGACTCCTTACCTAGTTTCCAAAAGTCCATATCCATCTGTCTACTTGACATTGCCTCTAGGATGTTTAATATGCATCTCAGACTTCAGCTAAACATAGAACTTGATTTCCACCACTTTCCCTCACCTCAGGTCAGCTTCTCTTCCCGAGTCCCTCAGATGAAACTACAATTCACCCAGTTGCTCAGGCCAGAAACAGTCATGATTCAGGGCTGCTGCATTGGATAGCATGGACTGAGCCCCCCACAAGTACGCCTCGCCAAGCAGGGGTACTCAGTCCGTGCTCCTTTCCCCTAGCTGTGGGGCCCAGTGCCCAGGTATGTCTATGGGAGGAAGGGAGTCCTCCTCACACAAACGTGCTGAGGGTCTGCTTACACCAAGAGGCAGAACTAGCTTTCTCTAACTTCCACAAACCAACCACATAAACTCTGTGGGTATTCCTGGATTCTACTTCACATAAGCCACACCTAGCTCAAATAATTTTGCTCCACCTCCAAACTATATCTGGACTCCCACCACCTTCATTACTATCACCCTCGGCTCTGAGTCACCACCTTCTCTCACCTGGAGGACCGCCTCCTGTTTCCACATGTTCAACTTGGCTGCCACAGGGATCTTTTGAAAGCACACATGGCACTCCCAGTGACTTTCCATCAAACCGAGAATAAAATCCAAACTCTCTAGCATGGCTTTCAGGACACTAAATGCCCTGCTCCCTGGTTACACTGTGCATCTTGTTGCCTACAGCGCTGCCCCTTGCAGCTGTCTCCAGCCAGGTGGGCTTCTTGCTGGTCCTAGGGGTGCTCAGGCCTACATGTGCAGTGCTGCTGCCGGGGACACTCTTTCCCCAGATGGTGAGAAGTCTCCACTCCTCACTTCACTCAGGTCTCTACTCAAATGTTCTCTGACCCACCCTAAAACACTGCCCTCTTTTTCATCACTCCTTATCCCTTCACCTTGCTTCTCTCTTCAGAGGACTTATTTTCTCACACACATGCACACACACAGGTTTCTTGTCTCCCTCACTAAACAAAAGGTCCATCTGGGCCGAGACCCTGTATTTTGCCTTTCTCATTATAGCCCAGTGCCTATTACACATAAGTACTCATTTGACTCAAATCAACACACTGTGTGAGATAAACTTACCCAATACTATATGTCAATTGTATTTCAATTAAAAAAGTGTTGACCGACTAAATTAATATTCTCTTCCAAAGCAAATACACAAATTGCTACCACCATTTTTAATAAGTTGTAATCATTACTGATTCTCCTACCTCCCGGACTTCTCCTTCTTAAATATCAGCACATTTATGTAGTCCTCCCAGCTGGTGCCTCTGCTTCTAGTCCTTTCGCTTTCCAAAACTTTCCCACATATGTCCAATCATCTTCTCAAAATATTGCTGTGATCACTAAATGTTTCTCAGCAAGGGAGTATTAAAAGAAGTTCCCAAATCATTCCTGATAATTTTAAGTTCATTAGCCTTGCATTCAAGATTCTTCATTGTAGCTGGCTTTGTCTTTCTCAAACTCAACAGAGTAAAAACTGGTCTATCTTACTACCTTGGTTTCTATCTTATGCCTATGCCCCTTTCATTGGAACATCGAGATTTCTAATCAAATCCTTCCCTTTCTTCAAGGGCTAGCTTGAAAGCCCCTTCGCCAAGCATCCCATCTAGCATCTACTACCCATGTAGCTTGTTGCTGGTTACCCACACAGAGCTTTGACAGCATGTGCCAAGGAGTAATCATAATCAGTTAGATACCTCTGCTCCTACTAAACTACAATATTGATATACACACTAATTTCCTGAAAGCATCTTTTCTCCACCCATTTCTCACTGCAGTGTTATTCTTAACCCCTTCTCTAAGACCTATGCCAATTTCTTAAATCAGAAGTCATCTCTTTCCATTATATCTGCCTCACCATGGCACTACCACATATAGTGTATTTGTGTTTCTCATCTCTCCCACTACTCAAAAGTAATCCAGAATTCCAATGAGCATACCGTTGATATGCTAACTACCCATTGTTCTTATTCTTTAAAATTTATTATCCTAAGCAAAAAACCCTTGATGTATTTCAGTGACTGTTTGCATGCACCACATCCCTTTTTAAATTCTGAATTTAGACCAAGCAAGTTTGACGATATTTTATTTATGTAATATGTACCACTTATTCACTTATTTAATATTTACAAAATGCTAAAATTTATTTTATTTTTAAATCTGGCTGTGCTGCATGGCTTGAGGGTTCTTAGTTTTCTGACCAGGGATTGAACCCTTGTCCTTTGCAGTGGAAATGCAGAGTCCTAACCACTGGACCACCAAGGAATTCCTGAAAATTTCTTATTAATAAGGCCCAAGAAAGGCTGATTTTAGAGTATAATCAGTTTCTTGAGGGTATGCTACTAACACTTTATTCACAAGCATGTTTCAGCTCAGAGGGAAATATAACACAAGTGTCATTCACTCCAAGACAGAAAAGCACTAGAAGGCACAGTGGACACCAATTAAAATTGGAAGTACAAACACTTCTTTACTCTAGCAAATAATCACCTATATTTTTAAGGTTTGCATAAA